AAATTTGGTATTCATAAACTAAAATTAGTATTTTTGGGGTTTACTGAGTACTCCAATTTGTTATTCTACACTATAACAAATTGTGTTGTTTTGTTATTAGCTGGAATTTTCCCAAGTGTTGGAGGAGCCCTGTTTTGTTAGCTCTTCAGCAGTTGTTTTGACCTATCATGGGTTTCAACCGCTGTTACTCATACTTTATATTTATAAATTACTATTGGTTTATGCCCTCATTATCCACTGAGCCTGGTAAGAGTTTTGGGTTGTCCTAGAATGGGTACTAGTAAGTATTTACTTTGATAATTTTCGACCTATAAAAGTTGTCTAATTTATAGACATTATATGTAAATGAATTGCAGCTGAATAAATCGTCACATGTACCCCTATTGCTAAGGAAGATATATACATGATCCCTTTATATTTGCTTGTATGGTGGGTTGCTCAGGACCGAGGGGTCTGCTAGAATGTAGAATTTTCAATGCTAAAACTGGGAGAATCCTGAGCAAACTCGCATGATTGGTCACCCTATTAAAGAAAGACACTTCATTGGTGCCTTCCTTGCCTGTGAATTTGTGCTATTTCCATCACTTTCGTTTTGCAATCAAGGTTAGCATAATAAAATTAGTAGGGCTGTTTGGAGACCACGGACCTTCATTTAGAATACAAAATTAAGTGTAAAATAGCACATTTTTCTTTAACATAAATAGGAAGTGAACCGTGTATATTGCCTGCTCAGCGGGTTTAATGCAACAGGTCTCTTTGGTTCCTCTGCAAACCCCTTCTCCTTCCCATAAGCCCCACCCCTATAACTACCAAACTCAGGAGGAGGAGGAACTGGTGGAACACTGGTGTCCTTTGGCCCCATTCAAGTGGGTATAGTCGAAGAAGTTTAGAAACCCCTGGGTTAAGGACTCCTAGACTCCCCTACCCGTTGCAGCTTGGGGCTGCAGATCCGCCTTGACCTTGCTCGAGATTCCAAGTAAATGCAGAGTCAGAAGCAGCTCAGGAGCTTCCCTGGAGGTCTTTACTGAGAATTCCCTAACAGGCAGGCAGTTCTTCCTGCCCTGGGAAGATTTTGAGTATAGCCTCCTTTACAGAGTGTCCACTATGAATTCTCTTATCTGGCTCCATTGCATAACAGGAAGACGGGAGGAGGACAGAAAGCTGCTATTTATTTTCCTGTTTATCTCCAGCTGTCAGAACTTTCATTAGGGGCTTTTTGCTTTGGGCTTAATTTTTCTTAGTCCTCACAGCAATGCCTTGATGTACGACTGACCCTACTTTGTAGATGTGGAACCCGGCTGCCCTGACCTGGCTCACCTTGAGTCCTGGTCTCCCCTCCATGCTCCGTCAGCTCCTGAAGTCCCAAGGAACCCAGGACTCCACTTACTTGAACAAAGTTCACTTGAAAACTGGCAAATGGACAGAAGCTTTAAAAAGCCCAAACAAACAAGAGGTTGACAATTTAAAAATAAAACCAACACAAACTCAGCCTGGAAAGGAAGTGCCTGATGAAGCCATCCTTAGAATTCATTGCCCCCAATTTACCCCAAATCCTGGGCGACCCTCCTCCGCTGCCTGGGCTGCTCTTAGGCACAGCTGCTTCCAGGGCATCACAGTTCTGTAGTAGGTGACTAAGCCATCAGTGGGAGGCATCTTTCCCTACCAACTCTTTTTCCCAGCTCAGAGTGTATTTTCTAACCTAAGAATGTCCTTGCTTTACATTTCCAGGGGTTATCCTTAACAGTGGGTAGGTAACCCTGTGGCAACCTGATTCCTGCTCAGCTGTGAGGTATGTCCTCCACCAGGGGACAGACACTCAGCATTCCACACAGGGTTAGTGGTGGGACTGCTATTTGTTTAACTACTAATCCCACTGATGTGAAATTAATTTGCTCTCCTATTATAACTCACCTTGCTTCCTGCCCTGTCAGGCTCCTGTAATTGACACCTGGCTGCTCCATTGTGCTCCTGCTTCCTGGGCTCAGGGGTAGCAGTTAGAAGCCAAGTCTTAGAGTGACTCACATTAGAAGGCTGCTCTATACACAAGAGAGGTTTGCTCATTATAGACTGAGGATAAAAACAGGGGTGTCTTTTTTTTCTCCTAATAACCAGTTCCCCTTTAGGCTAGCCCTTTCCGAGGAAGCTTGTGTGCTATTATTAAACTTCTTCCCAACTCCAAATATGGGCTGCTCCCATTTCTGCAGCGTGCAGATGAGTCTCTGGCTGCTTAGTAGAAACCCAGGGCCAGGTCCCCATTTGCCTCGGTCCTTGATGAGGTGCAGGTCATCCACAGTCCCAAAGCAGGTGCTCATGGTAGAGGTGTCCATGCTGCCCGAGGGGACATTATCTACAAGGTGTTACAAACACCTCCAACCAAAAACAAGGGCTGCCACTAAAGCCTCCCAGATCCAGGTCACATGGCCAGGAACCCTCTTCTGTCTGTGGCAGAGATGAACGAGGAGCTGTTTGTGTTGAGGCTGCAGGGGACATGGCTCTATTATGGAGATGAGAAGGAGCATGCTGGCCTCTGTTCATGGCCCTCCATTGGGCACCTGGCCTGGGCAGACAGAGGGGTGTGATGGTCTGAAGATCTGACTCTAGCCTTCAAGTGGAAAGCTCCCACTCCCAACTCATGTCCATCTCTCAGCTGCTCATCTGAGTCCTTGGGAGAGGGTGAGGGGAGGTGGGAGGAGGAAGCTCAAGAGTTTGTCCCCTGACCTCTGCCAACACTGTGAATGTCGCTACTTAAACAGGTTAACAGACTGGACGCCCTCCAAAGGATGTAAAATCCCTAATACCTCCCGCAGCAAACTCCACGTTGGCCGGAGAATGGAGGCCGCCTCTGCCCAGCATGGCATCCTCTGCAGCTTGACCTTTTTTCTGGCCTTATTCTCTCCTTTGCTTTTCACAATCCTCATCCTATCTGACTGTGGCTCTGAACTCTCTGCCCATCCCTCTGTCCCACCTTTGTCACATGGTGCCCAGAAGACCCTGAATGGCCACTTTATTATTTTCACTTGTCAGGTCTAATGCATCCTAGATCCCACTCCAGCTCAGGCCCCTCTGCTGTGAGAAATACTTGCTAACCCTACCAGTTAGCAGGCCGCTTGTCTCACCATCAAATTCCACTAGTGTGCTCACACAGATTCATGTGGCCCTGGAGTTGTTAATATTTTTTTTTTTCTTTTTTTTGACACGAAGTCTTGCTCTGTCACCAGGCTGGAGTGCAGTGGCGCGATCTCGGCTCACCGCAACCTCAGCCTCCCAGGTTCAAGCGATTCTCCTGCCTCAGCCTCCCAAATAGTGGGATTATAGGCACCCACCACCACACCCATCTAATTTTTGTATATTTCAAATAGAGTTGGGGTTTCACCATGTTGGCCAGGATGGTATCAATCTCCTGACCTCATGATCCACCTGCTTCTGCCTCCCAGAGTGCTGGGATTACAGGCATGAGCCACCGTGCCTGACCTGATAATTCTTATATGAGTGTTCTTTATTGTCCTCCGTTAGATTGTAAATGCTTTGCAACAAGGAACCATTCCTTGACATTCTAGTATAGTTGTACACAGGTGGCCAACAATTGATGGGACTTGACGACCCTACAACCAGCTGTCCACTGGTTGCATCCAGAGTGTTGTTTCTTGCTCAGAGCATGATTTTTGGTGTCAGAAGGACATCAGTTCAAATCTTGACTGTGTCAACTACCAGCCCTGTGACCTCAGGCAAACTATTTAACCTAGCTGCTTGTTTCTTCATCTGTAAAAGCAGAGATGTACAGTAATTGGCCCCAGGTTTATTGTAGTTTTAAATGAAGTAATGCATGGGAAATTCTTGCTTGGTGCAGTGCCTGGCATGAAATCAGGGCTCACTAAATAGCAGCCCTTATTATTATCTGGTTAGTTTGGGGGCTGGTGCCTCTGCTACAGTGAGTCTTAACAAACATCAAATTAATGAAGATAGATCCTGGTTTTAGGGCAGGCATCCTAGAGAGAATGTTGAGGTGAGGTTTGGAAATCCAACAAGGAGAGAAATCAGAAGTTAACCCAATTGCATTTCTCCCAACTTTTCAACAGCCTGCAGGCAGGCTAATTTTTAGCTGATTCTCCAGATATTGCTAGAACTTTTCCCAGAGGCAGGTGCAGAGTGACTGTGTAGGCTCCGAAAAACAGTCCTGTCACCTGACCTTGAACGTAACAAACAGCCCCTCAGGAAGGTAGCTCCAATTACAGTCATGAAGTTGGAGGAGCCCTTTCAAGGCAGATTGATTTATCAGACCAGAAATACAGCTCAACATCCTACACACAGATTTCTACCTTTGGCAAACTGCCCTGCCTGCTTCCTTCTCTCTTGCCCTGGCGTATTGATCTGTGTGTGCGAGTTGGTTTATTGTAGAGGTGTGGGTGTGCATGTGTGCACATGTGTGCACTGTGGTCCCAGGATAGAAGCTCTCAGATTGGGAACCCTCTCACTGAGTGATGTCCAAAGCATTAATTGAGGGAAATCTTGCTCCATTTCTTTGTGTGGTGGCTTTAATTTCATCCCCCTCCTTCAGGTGGGCCCAGAATGTTCCAGAATGCCTGTCACTGTCTGATTCCTCTGCTTCTGAGTGTAGTAACATGTTGTATAAGGAAGGAAGAAAACTAGTTTTTGTTGTGTGCCTTGTGCCAAGCAAAAAAACATCACCACCATGAGTCACATAAGAAACTGAGATTTGGTGTTCGGAACGTGCCTGAAATCCAATGCTGGTAGAGCCAGGATCCAAACCCAGGTGTGTCTGACTTGGTGCCCTCTGTGATGGTGACTCCAGGCTTGGCCCTGCTGGGAGATGGCTTCCCAGCTACTATGGGGGTGAAGTCCAGCTCATAGGATCATTTTGAATCTAGGGGCATTATTTCAATTCATATCATTGTATTTTGCACCCACCATGTGCATGGGTATGTGACCTTCTCCCTTGTATTAGTTACTGATTACTGTGTAACCAATCAATACGAACTTGGTGGCTTTGAACAACACATATTTATTATCTCACAGTTTCCATTGTTCAGGAATCCAGGCACAGCTTAGCTGGACCCCCTGCTCAGGGTGTCACAAGGCTGTAATCACGGTGCCGGCCAGGCTGTGTTCTCATCTGGAGGCTCAACTGGGGAAACACCCATTTTCTTGCTCATGTGGTGTTGGCAGCATCTGTTCTTTGTAGGTCTGAGAACTTGGGTCAGTTGGAGGCTGCTGCAGTTACTTGCCACTTGGGGTTTTCAACAGGGCCACCTGCCTCCTCACAGCCAGCCAGGAACTGAGGTTCCTGCATGATGATGCTGTGTGTGATATAATCACATACATGCTTTCACCTTTGTCATATTCAGTTGGTTAGAAGCACTTCACAGATCTCACCTACCCTTGAAGGGAGGAAAGCATACAAGGCAATGGGCACCAGTAAGCAGGGGTCCTGCATGGGGGGGGCACCCTATGGGTCTGATTACCACATCCCTTTTTCCCTTTCTCCTTTCTTCCTTCTTTACCCTCCTTCTTTATTTCCTCTTCCAAGCCTAGCCTCAGACATAGGGCTTTGCCACTAAACATGAGCTTTACAGTAATGATGTTAATAAGTGACATCACCATGTTCCAGGCACTAAGCTAGTTTTTTTTTTTTTAACTTTCTATTGAACTATAATATATATACAGAAAGCTGTAACATCCTAAGTGTAGAAATCAATAAATTCTTCAAAAACTGAACATGCTTATGTAACCGCCACACAGATCAAACAGGTGGATGTACTGCTAGCTCCCTGAAGCCCTCCTCAGGCTTCCTTCTAGGCCCTAACACCCTCAATGGTGAAGTTTTGTTTTCAATAGTGTCTCACTCTGTTGCCCAGGCTGGAATGCAGTGGTGTGATCATAACTCACTAAAGCCTCCAACTCCTGGGCTCAAGTGATCTTCCCTCCTCAGCCTCCCAAGTAGCTAGGACTACAGGCATGTACTACTGTGCATTGCTATTTTTTTTTTTTTTTGTAGAAATGAAGTCTTGCTACATTGCCCAGACTGGTTTTGAACTCCTGGCCTTAAGCAATCCTCCCACCTCAGCCTCCCAAAATGCTGGGATTACAAGTGTGAGCCACTGTGCCCAGCCAAAGGTGAACTTATAAGAGTATAGATTAATTTAGCCTGTTTCTGTACAATTTATAAGCAGAATCCTACAACGTGTATTATTTCATGTCTGGTTTCTTTGACTCAACATAGTTCTGTTGCTTGTGGTTCTACGTTGTGCATTCTCATTGTTGAATAGCAGTCCATCATATGAAGGTACCACAATTTACTTTTCCATTCTACTGTGAATGGGCATTTTGGGGTAGCTTCCTGGTTGGAAGTACTACAAATAGTGCTTCTAGGAGCAGCCTAGTATGTCTCTTTTGGTGAACACCAGTAAGCATTTCTTACCTGGGAGTGGGTGAGTGCTGGATCACACAGGGTGCATATTTTGGCGAGCTGTGTGTATGTGTATACAATCCACACATCCCTCTATGGGAGGCATCATCATCCCCTTTACACACAGCAGCCTGGGTCAGACCTACACCTTCTCCATGGGCCCTGAAAGATGAGACAGGAGGGAAGGCCGACGGGTGCAGTGGAGAAAGTGTAGATTTCACCTACCTTTTCGCTGTTGACAACCATCTTTATTTTGTTTTTCTTAAGAGACACATTGTCTTGAAGACTACTGCATACCAATCAAATGTATTTGTCTAGTCTCATGTAATTCCTCTTTTGATTATCTTTTTTTTTTTTTTTTTGAGATGGAGTCTCACTCTGTCACTCAGGCTGGAATGCAGTGGCGTGATCTCGGCTGACTACAACCTCCACCTCCTGGGTTCAAGTAATTCTCTGCCTCAGCCTCCTGAGTAGCTGGGATAATAGGCATGTGCCACCATGCCTGGCTAATTTTTTTGTATTTTTAATAGAGATGAGGTTTCACCATGTTGGCCAGGCTGGTCTTGAACTCCTAACCTTGTGATCCACCCACCTCAGCCTCCCAAAGTGCTGGGCTTACAGGCGTGAGCCACCGAGTTTGCCCATATCTTACTTTTTTTAGCATATTTTTTCCATGTGCTAAAAGTACTTTCAAAAATGTAACTTTTAAAGTTATTGTCTGATATTCTATCATGTGCAGTTACCCTGATTAATCTAACTAATTCTCTATTTTGGGACATTTAGGCCGTTTCCAGTATTTTGCCATTGCAAATAATACTGCATGAATATCCTTCTAGCTAAATCCTTAGGGACATTTCTGATATTTTCCTTAGGCGAAATGATAAGATGCAGAATAACCCACAAAGCACACAGATGTTGGCTTTTGAGTCTCATTATCAAGTACAAATTTATGCCGTTGTCAACAGCATAGAAGAGTGTCTTTTTTGCCCACACTAGTAATTTTCTATACAAATATTTGTTCTCCATTTTATAGATAAAGCATGATCGTTTGGTTTTCATTGCATTTAACAGATTCCTGGTGAGCTTAAATATTTCCAGGTTTGCTGTCCATTTGCCTTTCTCCTTGCTTTGCATTTTGCATTCCTTTTCCTCATTTCATGTGTCTCCACTTCCCCACAGAATGATGTCCTCTGCTCAGCAGGTCTCTTTCCCACTCACTCCGGCCCTCAGGGCAGGAGTAATACCAAGGTCTCACGGAAGAGCTTGGTAATTGTCACCTGCCTTGTAAATCAAACATGTGTTAGAAAGATGCACACTCACAAGGCCCACAGCCGGCTTGGTCAGCCACATCTGTCATTCCTCCCACCAGGAGGGCCACATTCCTCCCAGAGCTGTAAACCTCATATCTTGCTGAGTCTCTGGACACCATCACCCAGGGGCTGTGAGATCAGGAGAGACCGCTGGTAATGACTTAACCAGGTGAGGTTCCAGTGTACTTCTGGGGTTTGCAGGACTGTGCCTCAAAGGAAGTGCTCCCTACTGCTTTGGGGAAACTGGCAATTGTAAATCAGGTAACACTGAGGCCCTGACTTACTTATCCTTCTACAAGTTTTACATACTAGGGCCAGCAAGGGACTCACTTGCCCAATTCATGGCTGATTTCAGAGTCAGCACTTTGGGTAAGACCAGGCCGCCTTGCTCAGCGAGGTCAGCATGTGCTGGGGTCTTGGAGGAATCAAGGCACCCTGTAGTGCTGAGGCTTTATCTTGTCTCTTGGTCTGGATCAAATGTCATCTTTCAGAGACATGAGACACAGAACAGAAAGTCACTAAAACAGTGGGAAATGCTTCCTCTCGGTGCTAAAAATGCTTTTTCCCCCTTCTCCCTGGCCTCCTCCAAGTTCCTCTTCCTTTAGAGGAAACCTTTGCCGGGACAACAGCTGCACCCTTGTGATCCCAGAAATGATAGGGAACCATTAAAAGAGGAACAGCAACCATAAAAGAAGCTTTCAGGCCTTTGGCTCATGCTAATTAGCAATCAAGGCCAATGGCGAACCCAATGTCCCATAATAAATTACGGCACATCCTTACAAGAGAGTATCAGGCAGCTATTAAAAAAATGTTTTTGAAGAATCTTTATGGCACTGAAAACTGCTTATGACATGAAGTGAAATGAAGGAAAGATGTAAAGCCCACACACAGAACACAGAATACCAATGATGTGAAAGACTATCTGGAGATACTGTAAAATGGTAACTGCGATGATCTCTGCAGGAAAAATTATGTGTGCATTTTATGTTTCTCTCTTATTGTATTTTTACAATTTCCTACATTAGGCATTTGTACTTTTGTTTACAAAAAAAAAAAATCGTTATTACTTTTAAAGATCAAGTTTGATGTGAGCTGTCCCAGGCCCTTGAAAATTTTCCATGTTCATTCCTCCCTCCCTCCCTCTCTCCTTCCTTCTTTCCTTCTTTCCTTCCTTCCTCCCTCTCGCCTTCCCTCCCTTTTCTTCTTCCTTCTTCTCTTTCATTTTCCTCTCTTTCTTCCTTCCTCCCTCTCTCCCTTTCTTTTTCTCTCTCATTCTTCCTCCCTCTCTCCCTGCGTTCCTTCTTACCTTCCAGAAAACTGGCAATATTGACCAAAAACACATTTTCAACAGGCTCAAGAAGTTGGTTGTATCAATGCTGAATGAGGGGGCTTGGCTAATTTGGAAAAGGCTTGGGGACCTTTTCCAAACATTGTTCTGCGCTGTCCTGGTCACAGTGTTTCTAGGGGGCTGGTTTCAATTCTGAGTGCCAGGTTAAAATAAATATATAGAAAAGACCACCTTCTGTAGAATACAAAAATGACAATAATGTCACTTACCATAGGCCAGATACTGGACAGAGACATGATCCATTGTTTGATGTGAGCTTTAAAACAACTCTCTTACAGCTGAGAAATCTGATTTCACCAACATTAAGTACTGAGGTGGATCTATTTGAATCTGTATATATTTGCCCAGGAAATGGAGGAAAGGAAGCTTTCCCAGTGAAGGTCCTGCCTTCTTTGCAGACGGGACGGCTTGGACTGCGGCCTTGACTGCTGGAACTGGAGAAGCTGGCTGGGAGGGTTGCATTACCAGGGGAACTTTGGATGGGTTTTGCTGGACAAGAGTGACAGTTAACTCACTTTGGAATTACAGAGGTTTATATTGAAAGGTGTTGGGGATGCGACAGACTTAGCTCAGAGGAAGCAGAAGGCTAAATGCTCTGGAATCAGGAAAAGCGGGCTCCCAGACGGCCTTAGTGGAATCCACTTTGCTTTTCGCCTGATTGGAGGATTCGATGGCTTGAGATGCCAAGCATCGTTCAGGCCCATGGCCCCTCTGGGTTACTCTGGATCATGGGGATATTGGGTCCATTCTTATAGTTTGCCAGGAATGTGACAGTAATTGACTGGGCCCCACCTGGGCAGTCCTCTAATTGCTGGTAGTGAGGGCCCAGCCAAGGACAAGAGGATGCTTGTATCAGACTCTTCCACTGGTCAGATGGACTGGTTTTTGTTGCTTTTTTATCTGTTTGGTTTTTTGAGATGGAGTCTCTGTCACCCAGGCTGGAGTGCAGTGGTGCAATCTCTGCTCTCTGCAACCTTCACTTCCTGGGTTCAAGTGATTCTCTTGCCTCAGCCTCCCAAGTAGCTGGAATTATAGGCATCTGCCACCACACCTGGCTAATTTTTGTATTTTTAGTAGAGATGAGGTTTCTGACCTCAAAGTGATCTGCCTGCCTCAACTTCCCAAAGGACTGGGATGACAGGCATGAGCCACTGTGCCTGGCCTTCAAACGGACTGTTTCTTAGCTAGTGTAAGAATTATGGGCACCCCAGAGAAGTCTATCCCGCCAACTAACACAGAGAAAAAATACAGGCAAATAATCTGTATGAAATATTAGTTTTAATAAAACAAAACCAGTCCATGTACAGAGGCATGGGCATAAGGTTAACTTGCACTAAATGTAACTTACATGTTTTTTCTAAAATAATTGCTTGAGCATTGAGGACTTGGTGGCCTCCAGTACTAACCCTGAAGCTGAGCTTCCTGGGAAGCTGATCCAATAGGGCACCTAGAATTCAGGGGTGAAGTCTTTCCTCTTTCTGGGTCAGAGCTGGTTTGGGGTCACATGCTCTTGAGGTCCCCAAAGACCACATGCGCTGCATTTCGCCCAGCAGCTCCCATCACACCTCCTCCTGTAAGGGAATCTCCTATGAACCAAAGCTCCACTCAAAAACCCACACAGGTGGGGGTGGGGGCAGGGCTTACAGAGATCCAGCAACAAAAGGGGTGTGGGGGTGTGGGGCACGGGCACTGGGATCACCTAGGACAGCCGTTCAATAGACCCTGGCTCCCTTCAGGCTTCCTGCACCAAAGGTCTGGAGAAGGGCCAGGTCCACAGCCCACAGTCTCAATGGCTGATGGTGGACGTGCTGGACTGGCAGATGCTTAGTAAGTAAAGTTAAAATTTCAGAATAAGGGGCTGGGGGAGGGGGAGGATGTGGAAGCACAGATTCTCTTCAGGGGGACAAAGTCCACACAGCTCAGAGAACATGTGCACAGCGAATGACAGCCCCGCCAGCTCCGAGAGGCTTGGAATGGGCACAAGAAAGAATTGTAAGACTGAAGAAGTTAACTTGATCCATCCTTCTTGGTCTAAAATATGGCTGGGGCCTCTAATCTCAGCACTTTGGGAAGGTGAGGTGGGAAGATCACTTCAGCTCGGGAGTTTAAGACCAGCCTGGGCAACATAACAAAACCCATTTCTACAAAAGAATATAAAATTAGCTGGGTGTGGTAGCACACACCTGTAGTCCCAGCTACTCCAGAGGCTGAGGAAGGAGGATCACCTGAGCCCAAGAGGTTGAAGTTGCAGTGAGCTGTGATCATACCACTGCACTCCAGCCTGGACGACAGAGTGAAACCCTATCTAAATATATATTCGGATGGGGAATTTAGGGACATAGGGTCTCTCACAACCCTACATTGCAATGTGGTGAGATGCCTCCACCAGGGTGCATCCTCAGGCCTCCTGAAGGGAAGGTATGAGCTCAACTGCGAGCTGTGGTCATCCTGGTGGAGGCAGTGGCTGGGGGCTCACCTGTGCATGGAGAATTCTGAACACAGGGGAGCTTCTTATGGTGGGAGTTCCCTGCTCCCCTCCCTTTCTGCTGCCTTCGTTGTTTATCTTCTTCCTACTTTCCAAGTCTTTGACCTCCAGTGAGCCCTCCCAGTCCTCAAAGGGTAAGTGGGACTCCAAGTCACTTACCAGGATGAGCGCCACTTCCACAGAGATACAGGCCCTGGAGAGGGCAGCGGTAGCCGGAGTGCAGGGGTACAGGGCGGGCAAAGTAGAGCTGGTCCAGGGTCATGGCACAGTGGAATATGTTCTGCAGAGACAGGGCCACAGTCATTAACACAGGAGCAGTGCAGCCTTTACTGCCCTGGCAGGGCTTCTTTGCCTCCCTTGTTTTCCAGCAAAATTTCTCTTTCCGAGATATTCTCTTGAGTTCTTAAAATGCAGAAAGAGAAGGAGATGAGATGGCATGGGTACATGCCCTGAGGCTGGGCATGATGTTTTCCAAAGGCTTTTTGAGGAAGAAAGCAGGGTAAGGAGCAGGAACTTGAATGGGAAAGAAAAGAGGGTTTTGTGATCTACCCTGCATCCTTCTTGTGCTCTGTTGGAAAAACACAAGCATCTGACTTTTGTGGCTGCTGGCCTGCATCTCTGCGGGAACTCCCTTCTCTGGCCAAGTAGCCACCTGAACCTGGACTCCAGCCTCCAAGATCCATCAGGATCACTGTGAACGGCACACAAGGGGCAATGGAGCCCGAGCATGGTTCTGGCCCCCTGGCTTGGGTGAGACCAGCCCCAGGCTGAGAAGGGCAGCAGCGTGGCACAGGCAAAGGGCAGACTCATGGGGCAGGTCTGGCAAGAAGCCCGATGTCTGCTGGACATCACCATAGGAGTGTCCCCCGACTGCCCTCCTCACCTTGCCCCAAACTGAAGCCAGCCTCTTCCTTTGAGTCTGCTCCTCCCAACCTCCAGCGTCAGTGAGTGACACCAACTCCCTCCCCTCCGGCCTCTGGGCCCACCCTTCACATCCCTCCACCCTGACTCCCACGTGCATACTGTCACTGAGGCTTCTTAAGTCTGCCCGCCCCATGCCTGCTGCCCCCAGCCCTTCCCTTCCTTCCTGCTGCCTGGGTTTCTTTCCTCTATACCTGGACCAGTACTGTCCAGTGAAAATGTAACAGGAGATACATATGTAGCTTTTGATTTATTAGTAGCTACATTTAAAAAGTAAAAGTAGAGCCGGTTGTGGTAGCCCATTCCTGTAATCTCAGCACTTTGGGAGGCCAAGGTGGGAGGATCACTTGAGCCCCAGAGTTTGAGACCAGCCTAGGCAACATTGGGAGACACCACCTCTACAAAAAAAAAAAAAAAAAAAATTTAGCCAGGCGTGGTGGTGCATGCCTGTGGTCCCAGCTACTCAGGAGACTGACGTGGGAGGATGGATGGTTTGAGGCCCAGAGGTCAAGGCTGCAGTGCACTACTGCACTCCAGCCTGGGTGACAGAACAAGACCCTGTCTCTAGAAGGAAGGAAAGGAGGGAGGAAGGGCAAGCTGGTGAAATTAATGTCAATAATATATTTTATTTAGCTTAATATATCCAAAATATTATAATTTCAACATGTAATCAATATAGAAATCATTGATGATATTTTACATTTTTTCTATACTGTGTGCATTTACACTTGCAGCACGTTTTACTTTGGCCTCAGATCTTTCTTTTGCTTTTTTAAAAAATTTTCTGTTTAGAAACAGGGTCTCATTCTGTTGCCCAGGCTGAAAAGTAATGGTGCATCACAGCTCACTGCAGTCCTGAACTCCCGGGCTCAAGCGATGCTCCTGCTTCAGCTTCCTGAGTCGCTGGGACCACAGGTGTGCACCACCACACTTGGCGATTTTTTAGTTTTTTATTTTTGTAGAGATGGGTCTCACTATGTCACCTAGGCTGCTCTCTGACCTTTCAAGTGCTCAGTAGCTGCAATGAGGCAACTGAGCCTGGCCTCCTAACTGGTCTCCCTGTCTCCCATCTCTAGTTTTTGATAAATTGAAAAGTCTGAGGATGTGTTGCTTCCTTGAGAAGGGGGTGATCTCTCTAAAGAAAGTCAGGTGGCAGAGCCAGCATGGTTGTCAAGGCAGAGGGCCACAATCCTGGTGACCTCCCCAGTGGGGCTGTCCTGCCTGGGTTCTGAGTCACCACTAGGGACCCCCCATTCCCTTGATTTGACCACTTCTCTGTCTTCTCTCAGCTGGGGTCCCTGTCACTGTCCTCCTTCCTGATGCAAGCTGAGTATAGAGGGACTAGATGAACAGAGGACATAGCCAGGAAGTGGGGGTGCAGAGAGAAGACTGTGGCAGGAGACCCCCCAGGCTTATACATACCCCTCCAGGAAGCCCAAAGATTCTCTCCAAATCTGGGGGTGTGAGGACGTCTCTGCCAACCACAGAGTCCTTGAAGCCAGGGGCATAGGCCTCGATACAATCAAACACTGGGGTGCCAACAAACAGAAATCAGACTGTATTCAGAAGAAGAGAGGTGCTGTGGTGTACAACTTGGTAAATTTACTAACAGTCATTAAATTACACACTGAAATGGGTTTATTTTATCACAAGCAAATTATACCTCGATAGGTAAAAAACAAAAATCAGTCGACAAGCAAACAAATAATTCATCCCAAAGATGGATAGGTAGGCCAGTCCAGTCTCAGTTTTCCCCGCTTCCCCACCCCAATCCTTTGTCTCCTCTTGCATATGCAAAGCTTTTTTCACCTCATCACTTTGCTCAAGCTTGCTCTTTCTTTCTCCTTCCTTTCCTCCCTCCCTCCCTCCCTCCCTCCTTCCTTCCTCCCTCCCTTCCTTCCTACTTTCTCTCTCTCTCTCTCTCTCTTTCTTTTTTTTCTTTCTAGATAGAGCCTTTGCTCTGTTGCCCAGGCTAGAGTGCAGTGGGGCAATCTCAGCTCACTGCAACCTCCGCCTCCTGGGTTCAAATGATTCTCCTGCCTCAGCCTCCCGAGTAGCTGGGACTACACGAATGTGCCACCATGGCTGGCTAATTTGTTTGTGTTTTTAGTAGCTATGGATTTCACCATGTTGGTCAGGCTGATCTTAGACTCCTGATCTCAGGTGATCCGCCTGCCTCACCCTCCTGAAGTGCTGGGATTACAGGCGTAAGCCACCACACCCAGCCTGCTCAAGCTGCTTCTCTTGCTTGGAATGCCCTTTGCTGCCTGGGCAGCTCCTAGTCATGACCATCCCTTCCTTTGAAAGCCTTCCTTGTTTCTCTGGCTCATGCTTCTCCTTTGTTTCATACAGCAAGCTGTGTTGTAATGGCAGGTTTCTTAATTAGTCTCCTCCATACCCCACTAGACTGCAAGCAACTGGAGGGCAGGAACTGTCTTCTTGCCTGAGCCCAGCAGTCATTCACTATGCTGACTTGAGGTTCCCTTGAGTATTTCCCCCCTTTGGGACAGCATCTGCAGCTGTCAATCCTGATGGGGTGGTGAGGAGGAGTGGGCCCAGTCGGGTCACATACCCAGCTGTGGCTCTGGAGGCAGAACGTGCCGCTCTCTTTACCTCTGTCTGCATAAGCGTTTCTCTCCTGCTCGTCCCAGGCCTTGCCTCCAGCCAGCGTGTAGGGCGTGTACTGAGTGAAGAGGGAGACTACGTGGCAGCCAGCAGGAGCCAGGGTGGGGTCCAGCGAGGAAGGGATGCAGAGCTCAATCATAGGCCTGTACGAGTGGGGAGGAGAGACGACAGGTCTAAAGAGCAGCAGTGCCGAGGGGAGGGCCTCTGAGATGACTTGGGACGCAGTGGAGGCGCTGAGATGACAGCAATCCTGGGTGATTGTCACTGTACAGCCATAGTGGGTGTCTACCTGCATGGGCTTAGTGGCCGCTAGCGTGTTCCAGATCACCTGTGAGGAGCTCCCCTAGCCCCAGACCCCTGAATGCATGGCCTGTCCTGCCTTCCTCCATCACACACGCTGTGCCCTAACCAGGGCTCCCAAACTCAAATGTCTCCAAGGTCCACACAGACAGTGCGAGGGTGGAAGGGGGCCAGGCCTCAGACAGCAGGCGCCCAGGCAGCCCGATCTCAGCCAGGCTTTAGTGGCCTGCCTTTTCCAGAGCTGGCCAATAGAAAACAGAGCTGCTAGGGCTGCCCGAGCCCCAGCGGACCCGTGACCTGCTTCCCACCCACCTTTGCCTGCCACACCTTTTCTACCTGGAGCACATTATCCCGCTCATCTCCAAACATGAGCCTCCTTCGAGGCCACGGGAAATGCCCCTTCTCCTGCTGTCCCTCAATCACAATGTTCTCCCTGAACTCGGATGTCCACTAGGGGTCTCAAACAGCATGTCCACCATGTTCAAACCCCAATGCCCAATTATCCTCTAAAATCTGCTCCACCTCCACGGCCTCTTCCTCTTTTCAGTAAATGGAGGCATCATCTCCCAGTCACTCCTTTTTTTCCACCCACGTCCCACTCCCTGTCCAACAGCAAGTCCTGTTGGCTTCACCTTCAAAATACACCCAGTCTTCCGTCACTTCTCATCATGTCCACTGTGTCCACCCTTGTCCAAGCCACTGTCCTCTCTCCCTTGGATTCTGCAACAGTAACCCATTGCAACAGATGCCCTAAAGCCCTTTCTCCATACAGCGTCCAGGTTGGTCTTTTTAAAATATAAGGCAGGCTCTGCACACACCTTCCTGGAGTAAGAGCCAGGACAGTTGACAAGACCCAGCAGGACCTCAGACCCATCGCTCCCAGGTGCCCTCTCTCCAGCCACTCTGGCCTCACCCCTGTGCCTCCTGCACAGCAGCACATGCCTGCCCCGGGCCTTTGTACCTGACCTCCCCTCTGTCTCGTTCTTCCCCAGTTACCCACAAGACCCACATTCTCACTTCCTTCCAGTCTCTGCTTCAGCACCGCTTTATTAGAGAAGACCTTCCTCCCCTCCTTGCCTGTTTTTCTCTGCAGTGCTCATCATCAGTGCTCATTTGTTGATCGTCTTCCTCTCACCAGTAGAAAGTCAGTGACCTGAGGCCTTGTTGGCTTTGCTTGCTGATCTGTGCCCAGTCCCTGAACCAAGACTGGCACAGAGTAGAGACCCCAAAATATGTATAAATGGATGAATGAACTTTGCCCTATACCCTTCTCCTCCCCAGGTGCACATCTTCTCTACCACATGCTATAAATATCTGTGGACCCGTCTTATAGTAATATGCTTTGTGTCAGTTCATGCCCCTGCCCCGCTACTCCCCCAGCCCATACCTAGTACAGAGCCCGGCACAGAGCAGGTTTTCAACAGGGTGTGCTGGACAGTGGACAGGATGGAAAGGCGCCTGCTCCTATAGCGCCCCTGCCTGTTCCAGAAGGATGGAAATGCGGCTGCAGTGGGAGGTGGGAGGCAGCTTATCAGAAAAAGAAAGGCTATGGAGCAGGGCACTCAGTGAATGTATGCACTCTGTGGGCTCTGAATCACAGAACCTCCTTTGGTCTCCCAGAAAACATTTTCTGCTCTTCTTCCCTAGCCCCAGCACTTTCCTGGGCAGCTCTCTGCCCCTCTGCCCCTTCCACTAACCTGTGCCGCTCCTCACCCCTTACCTGCCCAGGTCCTCAGGTTTTTCACCTGGGATGCATTTCCTGTCCTTAGAACTTAAATATAGGTTTTGGCAGCTCCCAGGTCATGGTGAAGGTTGAACGCCAGGCCTGATCCCTGCTGTGTGTGGCATGAACAGCCCACCTCCCAGGCCCATGTGGGAGACCATCAGGGGACACAAAGCCCTGGGCCCCTACCTGTGGGAAGGCAGCCCGTCCATGGCATCTTCAAAGGCCTGATGCAGAAGGAGGGTGTCTTCACAGTTCAGGTGGATGGAGCACTGGTGATGGGGCAGCGGCTGGCCTCCGGGAGCATTGGGGGCTGCCAGGAAGCTGGGCAGCCTGTCTACGGCCACTGAGGGACCAAAGAGGAGGGTCAGGTCTCAGCTCTGCAAGGTCCTCCCTCTACAGCCAGCACTGTGCTACCCCCACTGGGGGAGGGGAGTAGGAAAGCAAGAGCAGGTGTTTCACTTTCTGAGCAGGGTGCAGGGGGACACGGGCTGGAGGAAAGGGAATGGAGATGATGATGGAGCTCAGCTGCCCCCAGCCTAAAAGTCTGTTGCTCAGATGGGTCAAAGGAGGCAGTGCTGCCATGTGGTGTGCCTTTTACCATTGATCTTGGTGACAGGAGACCGGGTGTCCAGCTGAGAGATTCTCTCCACGAACTCCTCAGGAAGCCACTCCTGGAAGAAGGCTCCGTGAAAAGTCTGAGACGTCCACGGCCTCAAGGAAGCTGCCTTCTTTCTTTGCTCAGGCAGATCCCTCCATTGCTGCCTCTGGAAATCCTCTTCATCTTTCAAAGCCCAGCCAAAACCACCTCCTCTGTGAAGCCTTTCTAGATGCCCTCCTACTCAGCTCTAACCACTTCCTCCTCTGTTCTTGGCCAGCAGTTCTGACTGTGAAATAGTGCACATCTCTCCCTGCTTGCAAAGGGGTCAGTGGTTTGCAGGCCTCTTTTTGCTACTGGTCTGTAAGCTCTTGGAAGCCTCAATGATCTTAGAATTGCCTTAACAAGTTTCTTTTCACTCATGCTTGTTGAATTTTATTAATGGAATCATGCAGAAAAAGTAGTGCTTTACCCCTAAGAATCCCCCCAAGAATGGCTGGGAGCTTCTTGCTCATATACATGTTATCATATATTTGGGCACAGGGAAAGTCAATTGCAAAAACTGCCCCCAGAGCTCACCCCTCCCTGTTTGCACACCCGCTTGTGACTCTGGGCTTCGTCATGAGACTTGCTTGGCAAAGACATCAAACCATGTGATGCTTTCATGCAGGACTGAGCCTGCCTGCCTTTGCCCTCTGCCAGTCTCTGAGAACGTGCCTGAACACTGTGTTGGAGGAGGACAGACACACGGAGCAGAGCCGAGTCCCCCATCATCCCAGCAGAAACCGTTCTGGACCAGCCACCACCGGCCAGCTCCCAGGCACAGGAAGGTGTCCCGCCAAGATCAGCAGAGTTGGCAAGCTGACCCATAGCCGACTATAAATGCACAGGCAAGCCTTGAGCAGCTGAAATCCACCAAGATCAACTGAGGTCTCCAGTTCTGGGTGCCAGTATTTCTTGTTGTATGCCCAAAAGTTTTGTGGCTTTTTGTTATGATTAATTAATAATCATGGGTATTACAATAGATTGTTGACCCAGGCAATGGAATTAGAGCTGCTGAGAGGTGAGAAATCAGGAATGTAGGAAAGTTGTGGAAATAACTCTAGATTGAAAGTTAGACCTGGGTTCTAGCTCTGGCTTGGCCAGTGGCCAGAACCTTGCTCACTTCACCTCTCTGGCCCTTTCTCCTCACCTGTGAGGCTTCTTCTTTGTTTGCTACCTGCCCTTACCTGCTGCTTCCCAAATGCAGAGACTTCGCTTTTGCGTCTCACACCCTGATGCAGTCCTGGCTCCCTCAATCCCCACGGTTTCCAACCTTCGTTCAGGCAGACATGTAAACTCCACCCCCCACCCTCCAGCAGCCTCACCTGTGGCGCCAGCTTCAGGAAGGTGATCTGCGGAGATGTGCTGGACAGCACCGCTCTGCTTCTCACCTCTGTGCCATCTTCCAGCACGACTCCTTGCACACGGCCTTCGCTGTTCACCTGCACCTTCACCACTGTCTACAGCCCACCAGAAAGAGAGCCCAGAAACCCCCAAGAAGGGAGATCCGGGTTAGATCTTGTGGGATTTTCATGGTCTGTGCTGCTCCTAGGCATTCACAGCTTCTTCATCCCAAGACTGCCCCACCAAGTTCTGCAGCTTCTCCATGAAGCCTCAGCCCACAGGTGGTTCCGTGATCAGAGGATTCAAGGGGAGTGGTTAGCCACTAGCAGGCGGCATGACCTTAGTCTCTTGATTCTTCAACCTCCCTGCCCCCCACCCACCCACTGCCCCTCTGTTCATAGGTAAAACAAGGGACCTTCCAAATCTGAGACTCTGTTCTGTCCTGGGATCCTGCCAACAGTTGGGGTGAGGTAGAGGGGCCATTCACCTTTTCAGTGAAGATACTTGCTCCATGTGTGGTGGCTGAGATTGCGATGGCATCAGAGAGGGCACCCATGCCCCCCTGGACATAGCCCCAGGCCCCTGGTGTCCCCTCCAGGCCCCCCATCACATGATGCAGCAGCACATACCTGAGGACAGACCATCCAACTCAGCCTGGAGGTGGCATCTAATCTCCCCAAAGTTCCAGGTGCAGCTATTGCTTTCCATCTTGACCTTCAGCCCCTCCCTGCCAACATCCAAGCCCTTTCCCAGCAGCCTTTAATGAACTCAAGTTCTTGTAAGAGCCCTTTGCCTTCTCTACACCCTCTTCCAAGAAAATGAGTCTATGTCCATAGCTTTATTACCAAAAATAAGGCAGCTATGCCCAAACCTGCAGCTCCAGCACTCTCCTGAGCTCCAGCCCGTGTCCAGCTACCCACAGATATCTCCATTTGGACGCTTTCTTGGCAGGCATCTTAAATCAACCATTTTCCCTTCGATCTTTCCCATTCCAGTGAATGCACCTTCCAGTGTCAGCCTTGACCTCTACCATCCTTCCCCATCTTCATCCACAAAGCACCAACAACTCAGCCTCGAGAGGGCTTTCAAGGTCACCCCATCTCTCGGCCTCTCTTCTCTTCCTTATGCTGCTGCAGTAACACCCCCTCATTGGAACCCCCTCTCCCACACTTTCTCCCCTGCAGGTCTTTGTCCACATATATCCCAGAGCCCTATCTCAAAGCCCAGCAATTCTGCTGCTCACTTACCTCCGTTCCAAGCCTCCCTGGCTTGGCGCTGCTGTTCAGGTAATGGCCAGTCTCCTAGCACGTGCTCCAGCCTCATCCCTCATCCTGTCCCCATCTCTGTACCCCACCCTCCTAACTAACAGAACCTCTCAATTCCTTGGATGGATCACATGTTCCCTCAACCCCAGCGTTTGCCCCTGCTGTTCTGTTAGCCTGAAGCCCTTTCCTCCCTCACCTTCTGTTTCGCTAACTCCTCCTTGTCCTTTGTGTCTCAGATCAAACACCTCTTCCATGTGGAGGCTTCCCTGATCCTAGACCAGGCTGTGACCCGGCTGCTCTTCCTAGCATCACACTCACGCCACTTCATTATCATCACTCGCTCTCTGTCTCTCACCCACCAGGACGTCTGTTCCGCTCACTACCGTAACCCCAGCACCTAGCACAGGCAAGCACTCATCCATATTTGTAGGAATAATTAATGAAGGAACAAATTACTTAAAGGCACATTTCACAAACTGAGCAGTGGGTCAGCCTCCCAGAGATCCGAAGAGAAATGGACAGGAGGCCCCAGCTGGAAGATCCGGATAGGCTGGTTGATCAGAGCTTGGCCAACGTGTAGCAACTTCTGCCAAGCCCCCTCCCACAGGGCCCTGGGGGAACTTGGGGCTGGCTTAATATTTGTTGAAAAACTGCTTCCAAGGCTGTGCTCATCCCTTGAGAGAAAAGCCACGTCGACAGCTTCTAGCTTCTAGCTGCATCTTCTGGTGCACTGGAAACGGTCCAACCTTTGGTGGCATCATCCTCCATCCCAACACACACACAGACACACACACACACACACACACACACACACACACCCCTCCATTCCTGCTCCTGCGGGGCTCATTAAGTCAGACCACACTGCAGGCTTCGCTGTGTCTGACTGCCACCTCTCGGATTGGGCTGTCAGCACAAACCCTCACTCACAAAGAGAAAGGCAGCTTCCCGTCCCTCCTGAGGTGTCTGTCTGAGTGTGTCCCAGAGCCCAGGGAAGGGAATGGTGGGAGAGAAGGGAGAACAGGTCTTCGTGGTAGTGGAGCGGTGGAATAGGGAAGGGAAGAGGAGAGAAAAGAACGTTGATATGAACATTGAGATATCAAGCGGGAGACGGGAGAGAGCCTTTTCTTAGTGAAGCAGTAGGGCACCGTCATTAAGAAGGAAGATTCTGGGGAGTCAGACACCTCGAGCTGGAAATCAGCCTTGCCACTTACTAGCTGAGGGGCTGTGGGCAAGACACTCCCTCTCTGCACTGCAGTTCTCAGATGTTGCTCTGAGGGATAAATGAATCGTGTGTGATGTGCCCGGCTGGTTCCCGGCTCACTGGGTGAGCTCCATAAGTGACAGTGGTTGTTGCTGCCACTGCCACTGCTGTCCTCACTCCTGTTGGGGGACGTGCTCCACTCCCGTGTCCTGCCTCACCCCCCTGACTCACCCACTCCCTGGAGTGTGGGGACTTGTCATGGCTCCAATCACAGCATCTGTGGCTAGAGTGGCTTTTAGAGGCTCGGACTCAAACCACTGATCCAGCATCTGGACAGCAAAACAGCAGAGAGAAGGGCTTAGGGGCCCCGATGGGAGGAGGGTCCCTCACTGCCTGGTCTGGTCTGAGGCTGGGAAACTGCTCACCTTGGTAATGGGAGCTGTGAGGACCTCGTAATACCGGGGAAGCTGGGCTCCCAGGATGCGGCCTACAAGAAATGATCCACAAAACAGAAGCAGAAACAGGTAACAGAAAAACCCTCCGACCTGGCCTGGGGTGGGGGCTTAAAAGAATGGAGGAGGCGAGACTTCCTGCCAGGAAGTGGCGTAGCACAGCCAGTGCAGGGACAGACCCAGCCTGAGTCCTGGCTGCACCTCTCACTGGCTGCAGGGCCTGGGCATGTTTTTAACATCCCTGAACCTGCTTCTTTACCTGTACAATGGGAATCCTATTTTATACCCCAAGGACTATGGTGAGAATTAAGTGAGCGAGGTAAAGCATTTGCAAGTTCATAGGCGCTTAATACATTTAAGCAGCTAGCACTATTCTTGGAAAATTTTAAACTTGTACCTTATCCCCTTATTTTGAAGTCTGGAAGGCCCATATTGTGGGAGGTAGCTGGCATGGCTGATCCATTCCTACAACCCCGATTCAGATCATTTCAGAGAGTAACTGGGCTTTAAGGCCTTCAGGGTAGAACTCATGGTCTCTAGCCTTATAGCTCCCAGGCCTAGCTTAGTGTCTGGCACATAATAGTTGCTCAATAATTTTTTTTTTGGCCTGTTTTCCACACAAAGCTCCTTGAACTGGTTATCTAAGAGGTAGAGTCTAATTTTTGCATTTGTAATAGATTCCACTGGCTCCACACTCTTTGCAATGTATGAGTCTACAGTGCCTCCCAACCCACCATAGCTGGGTTAACATGCTTGGCTTCTTGGCTCTGGGATTATTCATGTGACTTGGCCAGTCAGTAGAATGATACGCTCTCTGTGCCACTGATGTGAAAAGTCCATGCCCATCCTATTTTATACCCCAAGGGCTAAAGGTGAGAATTAAGTGAGCTAGGTAAAGCATTTGCAAGTTCAAAGGCACTTAATACATTTAAGCAGTTAGCACTATTCTTGGAAAACATCAAGCATGTGATCAGCATGTGCTTCCACAAGGAGGATGGGAGGTACCTGGAGCAGAGCTGCCTCCACTGAGCTGCCGCAGACACAAACACGTGCATGATACCAGACCAAATCAGCTGAGCCAGCTGGGATCAGCTGAACCACAGAGATGTGTGGGAAACAAATGATTCGGTTTTTTTTTCCCCTAGGATATAGAAGCTAAACTGGTGTGTATACCCTCAAGTAGGGTAGAAAATAATAGCACACTTTATGAGCCTTCCATTCTCATACTCATGGCAGACAATACTAATTGATCACAGAACTTCTCCTTGCTGAGCCCAAATCTGGCATTCTTTCTGTATGGGGCAGCTCTTCAAATCTCTTGGTCCCTATATCTTATTCTAGCCATGGCCTTTATGCTGAGCTCCATGTAGGCTTTGATCAGCTTCACATGGACAACTCCACAGCCTCTCACTTCAGTCCTGAAAAGTGAGCCTCTCTATTTCTTCCCTAGGGCTTCTTGGCAGCACAGCAGGGCGCTCATGGGAACCTACTTGGCACCCACAGATGCACAGCCTGGAAGCGTGGGAGTCAATGCCCTGTGAGGCAAGCCTTGACCAATGGGGGATAGAACTCAATGGATAAATACTTTCCTTTCCATCTCCCGAGAAGGTTCCTCAATTGCATTTCATAAGGCTTCCCAGAGGGCCCACACAGGTCCAGCACCATGTCACCCACAGTGCTGGCTGGTGCAACCACACACTCTGGTATTGACTCTTTCTCTCTCCACTTTCCCTCCTCCTTTCTCCTATTTTTGTGCCTTGGCGTCACCCTTCCAAATGAACTATCCATGCATAAGCCTTGGTCTCAGGTTTTAAAGGTGCATCAGCCTATGACACTCTCAACAAAGTGCTCCAGGCCGCCCCTAATTGATCACAGCATGTTAACCGAACCCAGCTGGCAGGCTGCACTGGAGGCCCAGGCTTGTGTCCAGGCATCAAGACAATAGACTTTCATCCTCGAAGGTCACTCATCATGTCCCGGTGCCTGCACTTGGACTTACCTGCCTTCAGCAGGGGCTTGAGGGTGGAGAGCGACCTGATCCTTTGCAGCAGGGAGCCACGCTGGAAGGCTGCCATGTCCACGGGGGCCACATCCAGCAGAGGGTCAATGGCTAATGCAAGGCAGTGCATGAACTCCTCGTATCTGGGAAAGGCCTGGAACAGAGCTCTGCATCAAGGCTCCACCATCCACATCCCTGACCTCCATGCTGCCCCCACATGATCTGTCACCCCCCAAAGCATCACAGTTCCTCAGGCCTTATTCCCTGCTGTGGCTTGGCTTTGGCTCTGTTGAGCTCCCCCAGTTCCAGGTCTCTGGGTTAACATCAACACCAGGAAGCGTGCATGGGGTGGGGGTGGGGGCAGGGAGACCCTGGGCAACAGGAGAGCCACCAGGAGTGGTGACAGGGACAAGGAGCTAATGCTGGCCAACACAAAGTGTCACCCACAGAAAACTGGCAAGAATCCTAGAGTTTGGTCTCTGCGATAAACCATGAAATAAGTTACAACTTTCTTTCTTCTGTCCTTTTTTTTTGAGACAGAGTCTCGCTCTGTCACCCAGGCTGGAGTGCAGTGGTGTGATCTCAGCTCACTGCAACCTCTGCCTCCGGGTTCAAGTGATTCTCCTGCCTCAGCCTCCTGAGTAACTGGGATTATAGGCATATGCCACCATGCTGGCTATTTTTTGTATTTTTAGTAGAGACAGAGTTTCACCATGTTGGCCAGGCTCATCACTAACTTCTGACCGCAAGTGATCTGCCCGCCTCAGCCTCCCAAAGTGCTGGGATTATATGGGTGAGCCGCCGCACCTAGCTTGTCCTTCTGTCCTTTCATATATTACTGGTAGGAGTTAGGCCTCTTTGCCTGTACTCTTTTCTAGTCTGTAGGTCTCCCACGCTGTCTCATCACCTGCAGTCACAGAAGCCTGCCTCCTCTCACCCCACAAGCTCCAATGTCAGAATCCACTTTTGAAAGCCTGGTTTCCAACACCCACTCCTCCTTCCCTGGTGGGCACAGGAGCAGTGATAGATGCCTGTGCTACTGGAGGCCCCACCTGATTCTTCTTAGCCCTGAACTTTTAATTTTGGTCCATCTGTAACCATGGACATACCCATGGCCTTTTAATCAGTGTTACATAAAGAAAAGTTCCATGCTAAAATACATTTGAGATGTCTTGGTAAAAATGAAGTGAAACGGCTTCCTCTAAGTGGCCTTTATTATGACAGCATGAAAAGACAAAACCAGAAATCAAGCTCCTCACTTTTGATGATGGGAAATGGGCCCTTGCCTCCTGCGTGTGTGGTCCCTAGAGTGTAGGGCCACAGCTAGTGTCCTGCAGGCCCGGGGACCTGGCCTTGTGCCCAGTCCCCTCAAGTGCATCTGAGATGGGCAGGATTTGGATGAGAGGAGGCAGTGGTCTCTAACTTGCTGCATAAAAGAACCCCCAGAGAAGCGCTTTTAAAAAGCTAAGCCTCTCGGGCCAGGTGCAGTGGTTCATGCTTGTTATTCTAGCACTTTGGGATGCTAAGGTGAGAGGATTTCTTGAGCTCGAGAGTTCCAGATCAGCTTGGGTAACATAGTGAGACCTTTGTCTCTACAAATCAATTAAAAATAACTTAGCTGGGTATGGTGGTGCATGCCTGTAATCCCAGCTACTCAGGTGGCTGAGGCAGGAGGCTTGCTTGGGCCCCAGAGGTGGAGGGTGCAGTGAGCCAAGACTGCACTGCTGCATGCCAGCCTGGGTGACAGTGTGAGACCTTGTCTCAAAAATAAATAAAATAAAATAACAAAATAAAAGGCTAAGCTCCTCAGGTGATTCTGATCATCAGCCAGGTTTGAAAACTGTTGGTTGAAGAGACATATAGGCTGTGTGTTTGCGGTTCTCTAAGTTTTACCCAACATTAGATTAACACAACAAAAGCAATGTACATGGGTTCTATTAACCTAGGTTCTGCTTACAAAAATGTCTCCATTGCTACACCTCGGCTTGTATCCAGGCTTCGTACAAAATGGCCATTCAAATAATCTTTCTGTATCTGCAGAACCAATCGTGGCAGGCCTCTTCTGGAACCCAGCGGCTCACCTAGACAAAGGCACCCAGCAGAGGCCTAGAATGCAATCCCAAGAAAGAAGAAGTGCATTCCCATCCGTCATGTGTTCCTCCTGTCACCAGACCTGCACACCATCACGGACACTTTGCCTTGGGCAGCCAGGATGGAGCCTTGGGATGCCACATTGAATGAATACTTAGAACTTCCTTGTCCTAAGTTCCTGATCCAGTTCATTTTATCCTTAATTGCCTCTGATCTTCCCTTATCCTCCTTTTCGGCTTTCATGTGTACGGACACTTGGAACTCTGAGAGCAGGGGGGTATGAAGCACATACCAGTGTGAGAACATGCCAGTGCATTTCCTCTTGAACTCAGCATGCACAGCCCTGGGACAGGGGCCTCATACTGCACACACGCAGGTGTGCGGGCCTCCCAGTTTACCAGTCTTAATTGGCATCCTCCACCTGCTTCTCTTCACAGTGCCTGAGATCAAGAGCTGGCACCGACTGGAGCTCTCAGGAACATGGGGTGGCCTGGCTCAGTGCCCATCGCCTTTGGACAATTGTTCTAGGACAATCCAACCAGACCCATCTCCAGGCGGCTGAGGGAGGAGGAGCTCAGTCACTGGTTGCCTTCCCTACCTGGGCATCCTTCTGGGAGAACTGGGCGATCTGCTTCTGGTTTTCTGCCATGTCTGTGCCCAGCAGAAGGGACCTGGGCACCTTGCCGCCTGCACCCTCTTCCAGCATGGGGGTGAAGGAGTGAGGATTTCGAAGATGAAGCCTCAGCCCATGTTTCTGCAGGACACAAACAGCACAGGCAATATATTAATGGTTCTGTGGTCTCTGCCCATCACCTTTCTCCGATTGTGTCTGTGTGACCACTTAGGTACCTGTGTGCAGCTTCCCAAGTATATGACCCTGGTGTCTGTTTTTTAAATATAAGTTTATAAAAAGCCCTCTTGCCCAAGTGCCCTATGGGATATGATACTGTATCATACCACAGTACACTATACCGTTCCATACCATACCATACATACCACACATGCCATGCCATGCGCCACCAAACCATGTCACACCACCTCACACCATACACACCATGCCATACCATGCCCTACCACACCATACAATACTATACTATGCCATACCACACCAAACGACACCATGCCATACCACACCACACTACACCATGCCATACCACATCACACTACACCACGTCATACCACACCACACTATACCATGCCATACCACACCATACTACACCACATCATACCACACCACACTATACCACGCCGCATCATACCACACCAAACTACACCACACTATGTCATGCCACACCACACTATACCACACCATGTCATACCACACCACACCACACCACGTCATACCACACACAACACCATGCCACGTCATACACCACACCACACCATTGTATGCCAGGGACTGTACTAGGGTTTACAGTGGTTACCTCACAACAGCTTTGTAATGTGATGTAACAGCCTTGCATCACTTAACGATGGGGATATGTTCTGAGAAATGCATTGTTAGGCAATTTCATCACGGTTTGAGCATCACAGAGTGCATCTACACACACCTACATCTGATAGCCTACTACACACCTGTAGCCTGTTACTGCATTGAATACTATAGGCAACTGTAATACCATAGTGAGTATTGGTGTATCTAAACATATCTAGGCCAGGTGCAGTGGCCCATGCCTGTAATCCCAGCACTTTAAAGGGAGGCTGAGGCAGGAGGATCACTTGAGGTCAGGAGTTCGGGATTAGCCTGGCCAACATGGTGAAACCCCATCTCTACTACAAATACAAAAATAGGCCAGGCATAGTGGCGCAAGCCTGTAATCCCAGCTACTTGAGAGGCTGAGGCAGGAGAATTGCATGAACCCAGAAGGCAGAGGTTGCAGTGAGCCAAGATTGCACCACCGCACTCCAACCTAGCGACAGAGTGAGACTCTGTCTCAACAAAACAAACCCCCTAAAACATATCCAAACATAGCAAAGGTATATTAAGAATATGGCATAAAAAATTAAAAATGATGCTGTATAGCGCCCTCGCGGTGAATGGAGCCTGCAGGGCCTGAAGCTGCTCTGGGTGAGTGAGCAGTGAGTGGGTGTGAAGGCCGGCACACTGCTGTACGCTCCTACATACTTTATAAATACAGCACACGTAGGCCACACTACATTTATTGAAACATTCTCTTCAGCAAGTTAGCTCACTGCAACTTTTAAACTTTATAAACATTTTAATTTTTAAAACCTTTTTGATTATTTTAAAGACACTTGGCCTAAAACACAAACACATCGTACAGCTACGTAAAAATATTTTCTATATATCCTCATTCTATAGGCTTTTTCCTGTTTTTACAATTTTTATTTTTTACTTTTTAAACTGTTTTGTTAGAAAGTAAAATGCAAACACATCAGCCTAGGCCTACATGGGGTCAGGATCGTCCATATCACTGCCCTTCCACCTCCACATCCTGTCCCACTGCAGGGTTCCAGGGACAGTAACACACGTGGAGCTGCCATCTCCTAGACAGCAATGCCTTCTGCTGGATACCTCCTGACAGACCTGCCTGAGACTGTTTTACGGTGAATTTGTTAAATAAGGAAAAGGAACACACTCTAAAATAGTGATACAAAGTATAGTATAATAAATAGGTTAGCCAGTGACAAAGTCATTTACTATCAAGTATCATGTGCTGTTTATAATTACATGTACTAGATTTTAGACCATGGCGGCACAGTGGGTGTATCGCCACAAACACATGAGTAACATGTTGCACTGCGACTATGACATCACAGGGGGACAGGGACTTTTTCAGCTCCATTGTGAGCTTACGGGACCACTACTGGCTATAGTCTGTCATTGACCGACATAGTGTCATGTGGCATGTGGCTGCCTCATTATCCTCATTGTACAAAAGCAACAAGAGAGGCTCAGAGGAGTTAAATAACTTGTCCCAGGTCACTTTGGGAGGTAGATCTGGGTTTCCAAACCACAGCTCTGTAACTCCAAGGCCCCGGCTCTCAGCACCGGGTTGTAACTGCCCCATTTCAAAAATTAATAATTAAAATTTGGAAAGACACAATAAAGCAATGGTTATGTGAAAATCTATACTTACAAGGTAGATAAATTATTCACATCAGAACATTTATTTACTTTGCAGACTCATTTACTCCAGGGTCACTTTAAATGGAAGTTCCCTTGATGCATTTAAAATATGATTTGATTTACAAATATTTGATTAGCACACAGAACTTCCCAAGTGCACATCTACTTCTGCAAAGGAGGCACAGATAAAACAAAAGGGGCCTGTGCTACCTCCAGTTTCTCCTGTCGAGACTTCCTTCTCCAGATCCGTGGCCTGCTCCCTCAGCGCTCTGAGGTCACGGGAAAGCCGCCTCATCAGCCAGGCCTCCCCTGCACTGCCTGCCCCCCCACCCTGCAAGTCTCCTCCAAAGCACTTGTCCCCACATAGCTAACCACATATTTAGTGTTTTCGTTGTCTCCCCAAGTAGAATGTAAGCCCTGTGAGGTCAGGGGCATTGTCTATTTTATTCACCGCTGTACCCCCGCGTGCAGACACGGTGCAGTTAGTAAGTATTCTGCTGACGGAATAAAACAGTACGGCCACAGAAGACAGACGAGATCTGTGATTGGAGGTTCTAGGAAAGCGCGAGGAAACCCGAAACAGGCTTTTCCAACAATTACTGCTGGAGTCGCTACGCCCGGAGCCTCCAGGCGGGCGTGCTCGCCGCGGCTCCGCACACTGTGACAGGGATTCCCGACACTGGCAGGGCCCTGCGCCAGAAGGCCGCTGGGGTCCCTCCCTCCCAACCCTGAGATGGAGACACTGTTTGACTCTAAGCTGGAGAAACTTTCAGCTTGGTTTTTCTTAACGCAGTGAACTGTCTCACACCCAGGAGGCATCCTTAGTTTCTCTCCTTGGCATCCTTGACATCCGGTCCGCTGCCTCCAGCATCTGTGAACGTTCCTCCAAGCCGCCATTTTGGGAAGTGCTGCCTCAGCGGCCTCACGGTCCACATGCGACCCCGCCTGTTCCCACCGAGTCCTCACCAGCCAGCCGGCCGGCTGACCCTTTGTAAATCACAAATCCTAGCACTGAACTTCCTGATCACACACCCCACTTGCTTCCGCTACACTTGGATAAAATGCAGTCCCTGAGGTGGCCCCTTCCCCTCCCACCCCAATCTGCTGCCCTCTGCCTGTCACTCCTCTGCTCTGGCCACACTGACCTGCCTTCTGCTCACACCTGCCTGTGCGGGTCCATCTCTTCTTCCCTCTGACTAGACGCTCTGCTCAGATGTCCACATGGCTGCTGCTGGTGGCCTCTTGGTATTTGAATACCTGCTCAAATGTTGCCTCCTTGAAGAAGATGTCCTTCCTGGTCACCATCTAGGCTGGAATTTCCACTCTCTTTCTCTAATCCTGCCTTCTTTTCTTTTCTTCTTGGCACTTAGCTCTACCTGAAGTTCTCTGCCTAACAGCAGGGTCCTTGCCTTCCTAGCTCCCAGGGGCTTCTCTCAGTGTGTGGCCCACAGCAGGTGCTCAGAAACATGGACTGAAATTGAATGACTGAATGAATGACCCCCAAATCAGGGACCTAAGAGGAATCCAAAAGTTATTTCAAGTATGACTAATTGACTATGAATAATTTTTCATTTGATTCCAGGACTTTCTCTTATAAATGGAGGCTCTGTCATTCTTAATGGTGTTAAATCAAATTTAGCTTAAAGCTGCCTCTTTAAATACTCTAAGCTCAGCCTAAAGGTTTCTCTGTTCATAGTGAACTATAACCTAGAAGGAGGTGTAAACCGATGGTAACCTACTCGTGTCAATCGCTGAGTTTTGGCCAATCAAAGGGGAGTAACTGAGATGTAACCAATCTGGCTGTTTCTGTTCCATTTTCTGTACATCACTTTTCGCGTTCTGTCTATAAATCTTCTTCCACCACGGGGCTCTGCTGGAGACTCTGAACATACTCTGGCTCCGGAGGCTGATCCATTTATGAATCATTCTTTGCTCAATTAAACTCTGTTAAATTTAATTTGGTAAAGGTTTTTCTTTTAACAATGGTTTTAATATGTGGAGTCTGAATGAGAAGGGGAATGTTAAATAACCATCAGATTATATCCATGAGATTTGTTTGGATTATGGAGGGTTTTTTTCTTAAAAAAAAAAAAAACCAAAATGAAAGCAAAACCCTTCTTTTACTTACCCCATGAGAGTTCTCAGCATGCATAGCCATCTGGATGGAAACTGCTGGAAAGGGTGTGTGTGACGGGTGTGTGTCTAAAGGACCGGAGATATGAGGGATTTAAAGGGTGGGCTTCTCAAAGTTGTGTTCTGGGGACCTCCTCTTTCAGAATGACCTGAGAATGCCATAAAAATGACCTTTTCTGGGCCCCACGACTGCCACAAATCAGACCTGTGAGCAAGAACCCAGGAAGTCTCCACTTCCCCGGCAGTTTCCCAGGTCATACTCTGTGGCCCTGCAAATTTGAGAGCCCTACCTTAGAGAGATTTCCAAGAGAAAAGCAAGAGCAAAATAAACAAGGATGAGACCCAGAAGGTCAGTGAGGGAGGGGAGGGAGGATGGGGTTGCCTCTGGCAATGAGGTTAAGGCTGGCCCACTGTGGAGGTGGGGAAGGTGGCTTCTGGTTGATGAGGATGAAAAGCCCTGCTCCATACCCTCCTCTCTGTCAGTGCAAAGGCTCTGCCCTTCCAGCCTGGATTCCATCACCCAGCACGGGGCTGCTACAAAAGCATACTCATTTTCTAGGTGGATGAAACTGGGAAGTGATCCAATTCAGTGCTCTCATTGATAGCCGTGGAAACTAATTCCCAGGACATGAAGGCTGCTGGGGTCCTGCCCTGGTGGGGACCACAGCAGGTCAGTGGAGGGTGCTTAAGCTCAAGGAGGGGAGGAGGGGCAGGGGTGCCGAAGTCAAGCCTCACGCTTCAGTCCAGGGCTACAGCCTTGTAAGGGGCAGGGTGGGTGAGGAGTCTCCAGCCATGGGTCTTTCTGGAGCCTCAGTTTTCTCAAGTGCCAAATGGGGGTGATAATAATACCAACAAATACCGAGCCCTTCTGTGCACCAGGCACTGTGCTGATGGAGCCTTAGGAGCCCTTCTGTGTACCAGGCACTGGGCTGGAGCCTCAGGAGCCCTTCTGTGCACCAGGCACTGTGCTGATGGACCCTTAGGAGGCGGGTGCTGTTACCATTCCCATCTTACAGATGAGGAATAAAAGATGTGATTTCACCACGTCATGAAATCACACAACTGGTGAGCTGTGGAGCAGGGAGGCAGACGCAGCTGGCTAGTTTCCAGCAGCTCCAGTCTTGGCCTCTGTGCACACCCAGTCTGGAGCTGCCAGGGGTGCTCTGTCTATGACCATGTGTGTGAGTCTGAGTGGTATCAGTATCAAGAGGCCTGAACAAGGACAAGAGGCTCAAGAACAAAGAGTAGGGGACAGTCAGGCCTTGGCTGGAATTCTCCATCACTTTCTAGCTGTGTGAACTTAACCCCTGAACTTTAGCTCCCTGATTGTAAAATGGTTCTTGCCTTACAGGTGAGGATCAATTGAGATAGAACATGGAAGGTCATAGTCCAGGATGTGATGCTGGTAAAATAAATGCTCTCCATTACAGTTTTGGAAAGAGAATATTCCTGGAAAGAGTTTAGCTGCCCTCCTGTCGATGCCCTCCAGGCTGTCAATGTCCTGCTAAAACAGGGTTCTGCAGATGGGGCAAGTCCTGCACATCACGTGGCAGGACTGCTTTCTCCCTTGATCTCGGCACCGTACTCCTATTAATGCGGCCAAGGCAGAGCTTAAAGCATCTGCTCAGTTCACTTGGGAGCTTCTAGTTGAAGGAACACTATGAAAAATACCATTTCAAATGAGTAACATTTTTTAAATAAAGAGAATAATCAAGTGAAAATCTCTATTCTGTGATTCTTTGTCTCATAAATCAGATTTGCCAAAAGGTGGGTCCCTGCTCCCCAACATCTGCCACTATGAATAAGTGGTGCATTTACAAATTGCCTGCTGCTATGGTCCGGACTGGACTGAAGGCCAGCGACCCACCCCCAGGCCTCACTGGATTTCATCCAGTACTGGTACCAGGATGCACATACTCTGTCTCGGTGGCTTGACAGACTCTCTGCATGAACCAGTTAGAGCAGCCAAAGAGCTGTGAAAGCTGCTGGACATCTTACTAGCTTCAAATTCTGAATTTAGAACAAAGATGGCGCCAAAGTGAGTGGCAGCTGCTTGTGCAGATGGCACCAAGAACCTTTTTCTCTGAGTGGTGGGTGACAGTGGCACCAAGCAGCCTCAGGAATGTGGCGATGTGGTTTATAAGACGGTAGGGGTGAAGGAAGGTGAAAGCATGGGGGCCAGGCTTGGGCAAGGCTGTGGACAAAGGTCAGCGGACTAAGAGAGGCAAACAGCACCAGATGAGCCTTCCAGGATCCCTCCAAACAGCCCGGGAGCCAGAAGAGGTGAAAGTCCCCAGGCCCCGCTTCCTGCTCCAGCTGCCAAGAGAGGGAAGCAGCTCTAAACTTGAATGAGGGTGGAAATCGGGCTCCTGTCCCAAGGCTGCTGTAAGCTCAGGCACCCAAGGCTTCAGACAGGTGTTCCAAGTGGGCCTGAGGGTGACAAAGCCCATTCTTCAAAAGCGGTCTGATTTTTGTATGAAATTTCACACTTTTCAAGACACTATATGGGTGAGACAAAACCCATCTGTGGGAACGCAGCAGGGAGACCATGTGGGATACACAAGACTTGGGTGGAAGAGAGAGCCCTCAGCGGTGGGCATCACCTTGGGCACGGAACAGGGAACCCACTCCGGCTGGGAAGATGAAACTGCTGCCTCCCTCCCCACAATTGGGCCGGGGGGACCCTACCTTCAGCTCCAGGTCAGTGTAAATCTGTGGCCTCAGCAGGCTGAGCAGGTAGGATGCACGGGAGAACTTAAACTCTGAAACCGAATCCGATGAAGACTGTCATCAGGGGTCAGCAGGGATGAAGACCATCACCAATGTCTCCAGGGATGCAGACAGTCACCAGGGTCTCCAGGGATGCAGACCGTCACCAGGGTCTCCAGGGATGAAGACTGTCACCAGGAGTCACCGCCCTCTGCTCCTCCATGCCATATCAGAGCTCACCTGGGATGATCTCCTCAGTGACAGCTGCACCTCCGATCACATGGCGTGTCTCAAAGACGGCAGTGTTCACCCCCAGTCTCTGCAGGTACGCTGCCTGGGAAGAGGGGGTGGGGCCCTCCCTGTATCCCTCTGAAACGTCCAGGCTCCCTGGAGCTGACCCACAGACTAAGGTCTTCACTCTAAGCCAGTATGCATCACACCCCACCCATGCCCCCTCGACCTGCTCATGCTGCTTCTGCCTCTGGGAATGCCCTTCCCTGTGCTTCTCCTTCCACTCTCGCCTTTCCTAGATGCCCTCTAAGACCTGACACACCTGCTCTTCCTGCCCCTCCACTTCCCAGATGAAGGTGGTCTTCCCTCCTTAGCGGCCTGTGCCTTGGGGACTCACATTGCTTCCTACCACCCTGCCCTGGGATGTCCCTTTCCTCCAGGCAGGGAGCAAGCCTCATTTCTCCTACGATCGCAGCATGGTGAGGTCAAACTTGTGAATGCTGACTCTTCCGCCCAGGTTCAGCCCCTCGTTCTCTCTCTGCTGCTGCAGCCTCAGTACCTGATCCACCTGGCTTCAGTTTGTTCATGTGCAAAAATGGGGCTAATGAAAACGGTCCTGACTTTACCCACTTCATAAAGCTTCTGTGAGAATGAACTGAGCTGGTCCTTACACAGGACTTTAAGTTGTCCCTGGCACAGAGAATGTGCCCCATAAATGAAGCTATTCATAGCAGAGCTTTATTTTGGGAGAACAAATGAGGCAAGGATTTCTATTAATTTTTTTTCTAGCACTTAGTGGAAAAATCAATAAATATTTGTTGAACCAAACTGGTCATAAGTCTACAAATCTAAAATGCTGGCCCTTCCACCACCACCACTGTGTGACCGCAGGAATGGTGTCACACAAAAGACTTTTCAAAAAGCTCACTTGGTAACTATTATGTGCCAGAAACAGGGAGTATATCGTCTTATTTAATTTTTCCCACCAGCCAAGAGGTAGGTACTATGATTCTCCCATTTTACAGATGAGAAAGCAGAGGCTCAGTGAGTGTAATAGCTTGCCTCAGGCTCAGGGTGCTGATGAGTAGAGGTGTTGGGAAATGAAACCAGAGTGCGAAACCAGCATCTATCTTCCTAACACATCCCACTGAGAAACAGCAGCCGTTACTCCAGGGCTGAGGCCTGGCACGCAAGGTAAGCTGCATCATTCTCCTGTGATACGGGAATGATCTCACAGATGGACAACCTCAAACAAGGTTTCTCCGAGACGATGATACAGTGAGGCAAGCACAAACAATAGCAATGTCTCCGTACCATTCAGAAAACACCAAACACCCATCTCGGCTGAAATGAGTGACTGCTGCTACTTTATCAACAACTCCTCTCCTTACACTCATCTTCCCTCCCTACAGATCAGACTTCTTGAGCTGCCCAGTTGCAGGCTGTCCCTCCTTCCTGACGGTATCTAATCTACGGTAACCCCTATTTTCTCGGGCCTTCCCTCGAATCATCAACCAAAGCCCAAATCCTGCGCTAAGTTCTTTCTAACACCTTCTTATTGAGGCATCCTGAGGTTCGCCTGATGCAGACTTTACTCACTGCAAAGAGCGAGAAACCCAACTAGACTAACTTCAAGTGTGTGCCTGGTGGGCTTTGGCAGAAGGGCATGGACGCTAGCCTTCCTTGGGCTGAAAACTTCCAATAATGACAGCCACCATGTGTGCAAGGCTGCATGTGCCGGGTCCTAGCAGCAAATGATCTATTACCTTCACAGCAGCTCTGTGAGGGCAGGTGCTATTGTTCCATTTTACCTCGACTCAAGAGAGGCTAAGTGACTCACCTTAACCTTCGCAAATAGAAAGTGGCAGAGCTGGGAGATCAATCTTTGTTTATATTAATATAAAATCAGGCTGGGCATGGTGGCTTACAACTGTAATCTCAGTACTTCGAGAGGCTGAGGCGGGTGGGTCATCTAAGGTCAGGAGTTCGAGACCAGCCTGGCCAACATGGTGAAATCCCGTCTCTACTAAAAATAAAAAACTAGCTGGGTGTGGAGATGTGCGCCTGTAATCTCAGCTGCTCAGGAGGCTAAAGCAGAAGAATTGCTTGAACGCAGAAAGCAGAAGTTGCAGTGAGCCGAGATTGTGCCATTGTACTCTAGCCTGGGTGATGAGCAAAACTCCATCTCAAAAACAAATTTTTTTAATAAAGTAAAATAAATGTTTTAAAATACTGATCCATTGCGATACAAAATGAGCCATGTAAAATATTCAAGTCAAACTTACACATCAGGTAAATATTAAGGTTTAACATCAGTCCATTAGCACATTCACATTGTTTCCCCCGTATTGATATTCTAGAGCTGCCACTGCTTCAAGAAGCTGTTCCATGTTTGTTTTGTGGCCTTGAATACCTTATGTGGCCTCCTAGAGGTCCTGGGCTTAGGTTCGAGAAGCTTAGGTTAGGGATAGCTCTGGGCTACCCAGCTCAGCTTAGGATCTGGAAGTCAGTTGTGCTGGGGACAGGACGCTGGCCCTTCTGCTAGGCTGAGCACCTCAATATCTCCAGGGCACTGTTTGGCCACATAGTGGCTGTGTACTCCAGGGTGGTACGTGGCCTGGACCTGGCTGGGAGGCCAGGGCTCTGGACACAAGGGCTGCCTGTGATTTGGAGTCAAGGGCCCCACCCTGTCCCAGGTGCCCAGTCCCCTGGTTCCCACCTGCTCCCATACTGTGTTGGTTACATGCTTCTCTGCCTTGTCGGCTTGTTTTTGGAAGCTGCCTGACTCCCTCACAGGCCATGGGGGAAACCACCTTTCCCCATTAGGGGAAGGGGAGGAAAGGAGCCTGTGATGTCCTCAACAGGCTGCAGATGCACATTCCACCCAGTCCCTGGTCAGCGCTGGAGAGCAGAGAGGTCAATTAGCCTGCCTCTTCCTTCTCTCTTAAGGCCCTTATCCCATCTGCTTCTTTGTACTCCCTCCCAGGCTGCTGAGAGCCACTTGCCCAGGGGCCAGTGAAGTGGGATCAAGTGGGGAGGTACTCACAGCCACCAGTCCGTTGTGTCCTGCAACAAGACAGAAGAGAGGGAAGGAAAGCATCACTGTTCAGCAGGTGGGCAGACGGACACAGTCCTTGAGGAGTGTGCTCACCGCTCCCCATCCCCAAGCCCATGAAGATCTTTGGTGGCTCCTCCCCTCCCCTTCCTGCTCTCAGATATTGGAACAGGATCTAGCTCAACTCCATGAAACACCTGATCTCCAAGGAGTCAGAAAACCCTGCTTCTTGCCCTGGCTGGATAAGTCCTGCTCCCCTGGCTTAGTCAGTGGCTCTGCTGGAGTGAGGGTCTAATGAGAGCATTGACAGGGCTTCCATCGCTTGAGGGGTACAGGTGATGGTGTCTGAGGGAGCAGCATGGTTGACTTGGCAAGAAGGAGAAGTAATGGGTGGCTGGTATGCTGGCGCGCCAACGTGTCGTCTCACGTGGCATCATTGGCATCCAGTGGAGTGCTGGTCATGTGGGTAGCTGCTGTCAAGCATGGCGTGTTTTGCCCACATGTGGTTCACAATCAGCACAGTGGTACCCTAGAAGGCTTTATTCACATGGGTTTGTTTTTGCCAATCCCAGTGTTCCAAAAATAGAATATGAACAGTTCCACCCACATGCAATAAACATAGACAGCTTCAACATGTGCTGGAGTGACTAGCTGTGCTTTAGGGTACCTTAGGCTGAGAGCCCTGAATTTGGCTTTGGTATCTTATGTTCCACACCAAGCCCATGGGTAGTGAGTGCCTCTCCAGCCCTGATGAGCTCAGAATCACCTGGGAGGTTGTGTAAATGTCAATTCCCAGACCCCTCTCCAGGAGTCTATTCAGCAGGTGTTTCACAGAACCAAAAGTTTCATGAGCTAAAATTAACTCTTACCATGTGAGAAGCTAGTTGGTTATAGTTCATCTTAAGAAGTGCTGCTTGATGTACTTTTTATCTGTATGGGCTTTTGAAATGTTCATAAGGAAGTTTAAACAATCTGCCAGTTGGGACTCATGAACAGATGGAATCTGAGTTTGAAAACCCCGGTCTCTCAAAGACACATGCAACAGACTAAAGGCAGATAGTCCTGGGCTCGGCTCAGCCTCTGCTATTTACCAGGGTGTGGTATCAGAGAGTTGTCAGCTGCCCTGAGCCTTGAGCTTCTTCACATGGGAAACAGAGAGTGCTGGGGACCCTGCAGTGTGGCAGGGATGAGATAAATGGGAGCTATTTGTCTTTTAATTGGTGCTGGTGATCTGTCTTGGAAAACAAAGTTTTCCAGGCAACTGGGTCCAGTTCAATCACAGTAGACCTCAAATGACTAAGGCCAAGGATCCAAAACACAAGATCCCCTCCCAGTACCCACCCCCAAGCTCTGGCTGAGCCCTCCTTGGCTTCTGTTGATGCCACTGTTCCCTTGAAGAGGACTTCAGCTGTGGGGTCCTTGGGGACCCCACAGCAGGTACCTGGCCCTTGAGGAGCTGCTCTGGGCGTGGGCTCTGTAGCTGCCTGCCTCAGGCAGTGTTGGCTGGAGTCACCTCCTGCCCTCAGAATGCTCATCACCAGGTCCGGGGCCAGGAATCTCAATTTTAACAGGCTCCTCAGTCATTCTCAGGCACATTTAGTCAAATGACTAAGTCAGAGTCATCTTCAAGGTGACTGCCAGGTGCCAATATGACTTGAGGGATTCAGAGGTAACCCTTGTCTCAGAAGATGCCACTCTGTTCCTCACTCAGGCCCAAGATGCCTTTAAACCAGGATTCATGCTTTGTTTAGCAACTAAAGAAATCATGTCAAGGAGAAGCTCACACACTGAGACTCACTCGCACTTGTAGGCAAGCCACCAAGGCAGCTGGCGACCTAGAGTCAACCTTCCCCATTAGGAGACAGTGAGGGGAGCTGTGGCTGAGCACGAAAGCGGGCAGCGGGGCTTCTCTGAGGCTAAGCAAGGTGCTGGAGATGGCTCCCACCAGCCCATGAAGTTTGTGAGCTGGCTGTCAAACAGCCATGGTTACAAATGAAATTATATAAGCTTACAATTAAATCAATTATATTAAAAACAAAGGTAATAAACACTCAAACACACTACCTCCTATTTGTCTTACTCCATTTGACTGTCAGCCATGCCCTTGCCGTCATTTGCCTCTGTGTACGTATCTGCATGGTGGACACACTGTACGAGGATGTGCTGCTGGGTATCTCTCCCAAATCACATCCAACAACTTCATCTTGGTGACAAAAAAGGCTATGGTGGGAGTATCTACACCACCGTCATCAGCAAATATTACACAGCAAGGCTGAATTTATTGTTCTGTGGTCAGGCTTAAGAAAGCGCTGGGAAAACAGTAATAGTGCAGATTATACCTAACAGTGTTAGCTGTTACAGCATAAATAGGAAGAAAGTGAAGAAAATATTCTAGTATTAGAAAAACATTAACTTATTTGAGTAACATCATTCCTGCCATTTGAAGGAGTAAAGCTGGGACATAATCTTTGCTGTTTCACTTTCATACTCGTCCTACTCTGCGCAGAAAATATGGAGCACCATTCTTTTTGGAGCTACCCTCATTTGTCAGTTGTAACTACAGGTTGGCTACAAGTTTGGCAAAAATCAAAGAAAATCTTTGGTAAGAATCAGTTGGCTACACTGCATTTAAATTGAGAGTATTGCATTTTTATTTGTAAAATTGTGTGTAACGTATCCATTTCAATATTTAAAATATATGTATTTATGTATCACACATACATATGTATACATGTATACATACATATACACACACGATATGTAGATATATACATACATATACACAGGGAAACACACACATCACATATTTTTCCCTGGAGAGGTGACTGTTAGTATCTACCAGCTCGCACTGCTCTTGCACATACAAAAGTGAAGACTTGCCCACAAAACTGCATGACGAGTGCAACTGCAACTTCCAGTCCCGCTACTATCTCTGTATAGACCTAGTTGGCAATCACACATTTGGGGCCCTCTGCAAGTGTGACTGGAAGGCACTAAGGATAGGCCACCTGGTCTTGGGCCTGCCTCTTCCCCCAGCACCCAGTAGACTTTGATACTCTGAGCCCAGGGATTGGCAAAGTGTGGCAGGATCACCGCAGACCCCCAAATGTCCCAGAGGTGCAAGGCAGTGGGGGTCACCTCCCTCTGTAGACACGCAGTAGGAACTCTGGGACTCATTTCTATTTTATCCTAGCTGGCCTTTATGAAATGACTGCAGTTTCTTTTGAGGATGGGAGGCCTCAGTGATAAGGTAGTGTGACCAGAACTCAGGGCACTGGAGGTGGATGGATTTCGCTTGTCTGCTGTCCCAGGGTGCTTTCCAACCCTGACAAACCATAGGCTTTCTGAGAATGTGGTAGAAACTAGGTCATTTTGCAGGAGATACAGGGAAACCCCTGAGCTCACCTAGTCTTCTCATTCTTCATGGGAAGATCCAAGCCCAGAGAAGGCAAGCATTTATCCCAGGCCACACAGCAGAGCCAGCACCGGAATCCCAGGTGCCTGCCTGCCAGATGAAAGGGCTTTCCATTGCAGCCTCTGCTATCACATAAGCTTCTGGCTGGGTCATGCCCAGGGAGAGCAGTGGGGCTTGGCAGAGCCTCCCCCTCCCCACCAAGCTCTGAGCAGGACTGTCTCTCCACCCCTCAGCTCTGGCCCAGCCTGCTTTATCACTTTACCTGCTCCTATCACCACCGCATCATACTCAGACTTTAGCCCTCCCCGGGCTTCCGAGTGAGCTCCTCTCCAAGCAGGGAAGGGAGAGGCGGCCACAGCCTTGCAGAGTCCTCGGCCACTTGCAGCCATTTCTGCCCCAGGCTGGGCCTTGCTAGGCAGGGAGTTTGCTAGCGATTGGCCTTTGCACTGCCCTAGGCAGGGGGGTGGGGCAGGGAGGAAGCAGGAAGAGGAGGAGCTGCAGCAGCTTGGCCTTCCCCCTCCTCCCTCCTTCCCCCATCCCAGGATTCTTGGCCTTGGGCCAGCCTCCTGCTGCTGTGTGGCTGTACTGGGCCTTCCGGGAGGGGTGGCCTGTTAACCAGGCCAGTCACCTCCAGGATGCAGGAGAGTAATGACAACTGATCATCCACTGGGGTTCCCACGTCAGGCTGGCACTGTGCTAAACCCTGCAGGCAAAACTCTCCATTTTACAGATGAGGGTGCTGAGGCTGCTGGATTAGGGAGTGAGTGGCAGAGCCAGAGCCAGAGTAGAGCCCCAAAGGCCCTCTCTTCCCCTGTGTGCCTCACTTCTCAATAAGAACTGAAATGCCTGGGATGGGAAGTGCTCCGGTCAGTCTCTGTTCTGACTCCATGCAGAGTCTGACAGTGCAGAGTGGTGATGCCTCTATATCCACAGGAGGGCCTAGGTCACCACATCGGGGCCTTCAGGCACTGCAGAGGCAGCTGTATCTGTCGCTGAGGAGCACTGGCGCTCAAACACATCCCTTAACGGGCTGCTGCAGAACCTCGCCAGGGCTCAGGGGCAAGTTCACTGTCCTTAATTCTCTGGGTTTGCTTTTTTCTTTGGAGGGCCTGGCCATTTCTCTTCTTTTGGCATCTTGCCTATTTTCCAAGAATCCTCAAGGATTAGAGATCACATCTGTAAAAACCTCCAGCTAAAGTTCTTTCTGACCCTCCCTTAGGCCTGCCTTGAATTAGGAGCCCCTTTGTTCTCTGCCCATTACTCAGCAGACCATTTCCCTAGGAGGGAAAGCCCCTCGGCATGGAGAGTCCCTTCCCTGATCTGACATTGCGTGTGACGGAAACCTGCTATGGGTAATGAATCTCAGAACTGGGGGAGTATGTGGAGATGACCTAAGAAGGGGACCCCTCCACATGCGTGGACAGCCAACCTACATGGGGGCAACTGTAAGATCTGATTCAAGATCTCCACGCCCATGTTATTGATTATAAAAAAGATCAGGGCGACTGGTTAAACCAGACATATACCACATCAAGCTGCTGCTAAAAACTAAGGGAAAATAGTAGGTGACAAAAGCAGGGGTTCTGAACAGTGGTGGGCTTAGAGGCTTAGGGTTTTTTCCTTTATGTTTTTCTGTTTTCCACAATCCACGTGTTTCATTTCCATCCATCAGATGACGATGTTAGGGAGGAACACAGATCCAGTCACCTCAGGGGACACTTCCTCACTGCCACTTTCTCAGGGTTTGGCCCAGTGAGTGGTTTGAGCTCCCCCAGTGCCTCCCCAAGGCTGTTCCCTGCAAGGGAGAGACGAGTCTGTGCAAATTTTGGCTCAAGACCAAAATCACAGAAGGTGTGGCTCCAGCGGGCACAGCACGCAGGCATCTGCTCCTGGGCTGCACTGGACGCTGATTTCTGCCACACCGCCCTCTCTGGACCAGCACCAGCCTCCTGGCCTCAGAGGAGCAAATGCTCCTAGTCTTAGGGCTCTGAGGGTCTCTTGTCCTTGAGTTCGTTCTGGGACAGGAGCTTCTCTGTTGGAAGAGAGGGGCTGCTCGGGTGTTGGTTCTCAATCCAGGGCACACCACGAAAGCTTTGACAAACATCAGAGCCTGGGCTCCACAGCCACCAAGCAAGTCCAATTTCTGGGACACGGCCAGGGCCAGGAGCTTGAGAACCCCAGCCCTAGCGCAGACCCAGCCGAGCGTGAAGGGGCCAGGACTTAGCAAGCGCTTATCAGCACCAACAGAAGGGTCTAGAAGCACAAGCGTGTTGGGCTTCTGTGATAACAATGACCAGCATTTATTGAGCACCTACCGCATGGGGTAATCCTTGCGTCACCCTGAGCGGGAGGTGCCATCACTCTAAATGTGAGGAGTATAAGAAACTTGCCAGGAGGTACAGAGGAAGTGGCAGGGCCAGAACTCAAACCCAGTCAAAGGAGCACCTTTTACCTGGGATAGGAGATAGCCTGCTGGGTGGGCTTCCTCCACTGCACTCAGGGAACAGCAGAGACAGGGGCTCCCTCCCCATCTCCCAGGATAAAGGCAGAGGAGGCTCTGGAAGAGGAGCTGTTGCCGCTGTTGATTAATGAAGACCAACAGAACCCCTGGCTTCCATCTTCCTAAAGAGAGAAGGATCTGGGGCCTTGCTCAGTACCCCACTAGGCGGGGTTTTAGAAACCCTGGGGCTACCCTGGGCACTCTGCCCCATCCTCAGGATGGCCACTGCAGACAGGAGGCTCTCATCATGCAGAACAGTGGCAAGCAAGCGTGACTGGAGGATGGGGTGCAAGGGCAGACTGCAGCTACCCTGGCCTATAGCAGGGGGATATGGGAGGCCTCCCAGAGGCGCCGGGCCAGCTGGCTGGCCTGCTGCACCAGCAGGTCCATGGGGATGACCGACAGGTGCAGGGCCAGCAGCTCATAGCACTTCACAGTCTCAGCCGGGCGGCTCTTGCTGTAGTAGCGCAGGAGCTTCCTGTGGAGGAAAGGGAGGATGGGATTCGGAGCGAGGCTGTGGCACTCCTCCAGCACCAGAGGCCTCTCCTGGCCCTTATGAGCAAATGCCCATGGCCTCGGTCATCTCACTAGGCCCCTGCACATGGGCCTTGACACCCGCTCTTGCTCCTCACTGACCTAACAGTGGTATTCTGGCTATGAGGCCTCAGCAGGGATGTTCTGGGCCCCACACAGACATTCCCTATGCTGCCAAGACCATGCCGGCAGGAATGAGGCAGGAACACAGATGTGCCCTGCATTCCCATCCCCCCTCACTGCACACAGGGCCAGCTGGGAAGGTGTTCCCAGCATGGATTTCTGGGTCCAGGGTAGGGCACTGCTGAAGCAGAAGCTGCTCCCAGCAGGGGTGGGCGCTTAGAACCCACATGGGGCATCTGTCCCCAGCAGCTCCCGACGCGGTGGCGTCACCTGTAGTAGTCTCCTCCCAGCATGCCAATAGGCACTGAGTCGTCGGAGAGGACGGGCACCTCGATCATCTGGAGTTTGTACCCCTGAGGAGGGAAGACAGGGCAGTGGTGGGTATGGGGGGCGCAGAGCCTGAGTCAGACGCACAGGCCTGCACCTGGCTTGGCCCTGCCATGTGTGCTCGGTGCTTGAGAAAATGCCTGGCCCTTGTTTTTTTCATCTGTGAAGTGGGAATAACAACAGTCACCTTATGAACATTAGAGACAATGTGTATCAAGTTTCCAGGCCCCGGCAGGGTGGTTCTCATGACCATCAATACCTGGACCTGTGCAGGCCACGAGCACACGCCCAGGAGGGCAACCCGCAGGGCTGTCATGCAGGGTCTTGAAGAGCAAAGCGCTCACAAAACGCCAAAGGCTCTGTGGCGAAAGAACTGGGAATTCCCAGGGTCAGATAAAATGGGGACGAGAATTAAGATCTGCTGGACTGGACATGCCCTGGGTGCCAGGCACGAACATGGTGCTTAGCTGATGCTTGTGTAGGCACTGTGAGGCCTGCCTGCAGGGAGAGCGGACTCTGCAGCATGAAGGGCTGCCCCCATGGCACCAGCTGGGCTGTGTGCTTGGTGTTCAAACCTGGCCTCCCCAGCTGCCAGCTCTGCCTCACTGTATCACCCCATGGGGCCACCCAAGCACATAGACTCCTGTCTCTCCCTAGAAGTGTAGGTAGAGGTCACAGGAATTTTCTAGCACTTCTGTTGTGCACACTTCTAAAGGCACAGAGGAAAGCTGGGAGCCTGCAGGCTGGGGGAGTGGAGCTTGGGCTCCGGCTTCCTCAAAATATAGTCCTGGTGGCCCTGGCCATGCGTCTGGTCTCCAGATCATCGTGTCTCCATCTGTACATTGGGGTCAGGGATCCCTTCCCCAGCCACTGCACATAGCTGTGAGGGGTGACTGAGAGAAGAGCAGTGGAGGGCCCTGGTAACCACCCTGCACCATGGAAAGGGGTGGCTGTCATCCTTAGTGAACAATGAGAGTGCAGGGTGGGTGCCCAGGAAGGCACAGGAGTGCAGGGACCCAGAGACCAAGACTGCGAGGGAGGAGGAAGGCTCCTGAGAGCTGGAACAACCACTCATGGTGACAAGTGAGATGCAAACAAAAGAGAAACAGAAGGAAAGCAAAGAAAGGGAAGAGACAAAGGAAGGAGGAAGAGGCAGGAGGAGATGAGAGGGGGAGGTGGCCATAGATAGTAGTTCCTCTCGCCACAGCCTACCCTGCAGGAACAGTGAGACCCAGAGGCAGCAGTGTGAGGCCAGGAGGCCAGGGCCCCAGTCCCACCGCCAGCGCCTTCTCGGGTGGCCGGGCTCACTGCTTCAAGCAGGGTCCTATGCTACAGGGATGACTGTATGCCATGCTTAGCACATGACGCTGGCAATGTGGAAGCACTACTGATGAAGCGTGTGGTCTGAGTCACCTTTCCCACCATGGGGCATGTGCCTATCTGCTCACATGCATGCCGGGACCCTGCGTGGACAACGGTGGGAGTTTGCCAGACAGCTGGGCAGAGGGATCCCGGTTAAATGCCCAAGTGAAAAGGTGACCTCTGAGCTTGAGGTCCAACCTGCTGGGCTTATTGGGGACAAGAAGAGGAGACAGACAACACAATCAGAAGAGAGGAATCCAAGAGTTACAGAGTGGGAAGTGTGTGTGGACTGTCTTGGCCCAGAGACTTGGCCTCACCTACCATGTCATTCTCGAACCACAGGAAGTAGGAGCAGTAGAAATCCCCCTCCTGGAACAGCAGCGTGGTGTAGCCCTTCTGTAGGTATCTGCGCGCCAGCTGGATCAGAGACCAGACCTGGGGAAGAGAGGAGAGGGAGCATCATCACTCTCCCGGCCTCGGTCAGCCTGGGCAGCTCTTGCCTCCGGAGCGAGGAAAGTGTGCAGTCGAGAAGCCCGTGAGTAACAGGGGCCGTGAGTAACTGGGCACTGCCTCAGCCCAGAGCAGGAGGCTCAACAATAAATCATTATTGGATGGATAGACTACCCTCCAGTTAGTATGGGTGCAAAATATACGCAAAAAAACTTTGTGTAACTTTACTACATACATAAACCATAAATTAGTGAACTGGGCTGGTGTGGTGGCTTACACCTGTCATCCTAGTACTTTGGGAGGCGGAGGTAGGTAGATTGCTTGAGCTCAGGAGTTCGAGACCATCCTGGACAACATAGTAAAACCTAGTCTTTACAAAAAATACAAAATGATAAGCTGGGCATGGTAGCACACACCTGTAGTCCCAGCTACTTTGGGGGCTGAGGTGAGAGGATCGCTTGAGCCCAGGATGTTGAGGCTGCAGTGAGCTGTGTTTGTGCCACTGCACTCTAGCCTGGGTGACAAAGTGAGACTCTGTCTCATGAAATAATAAAAATAAAATAAATAAAGAAATAAATTAGTGAACTGATCATTCAGGCCAGAAAACAGCCAGGGACATCAATAATTAACACAGTAGGAGAAAAAGGTGTGGGCCTCTGAATCCCCTCCTCTGCCTGGGGTCACCCACTCACCCAGTGCTCTCCAGGCTGGGAACTGATGACATAGGTGACCCTGAGCCAGGGAATGTCCTGAGCCAGGGGATATCCTGAGCCAGGGGTGAGGTCCAAATGAGAGCTCACCAAGGGGTCAGATGGAAACACAGGACCTGAGAAACCAGGTGCCTTAGCTCCCCTGGGAATGTCCTCTTGCCTGATGCAGGGATCAACACCAGTGCCACCAGTTAAGTGCCCGAGGGAAGGCAGCAGGGACAGTGGGCTCTCCCCCACCTCTCAGGGCTGGGAGGAGAGGGACAGGCAATCTGCTACAAACTGCATCACAGTGCAATTACTAATTAAGTCTGCCATGGATTGGCTATAGTTTTCAGGAAAGAAATTTGGCAACATGTACCAATAACCTTAAAAACATGCCTCCCATCTGACTTAGTAATTCCAATTGTAGGAATCCATACTGGGGACATAATCAGAGATGAGGACACAGATGTATGTAAGGTGTGTACTGCAGAATTATTTATAACAGCAAAAGCCTAGAAATAATCTGTATGTCTAAACATTAGGGAAATGGTTAAATTGTGTTACATCCACATGATGGACTATTATGAAGAGGCTAAAAATCATGTCTATAAATAACGTCATGAGGAAATGCATCTGATATCATGTGAAGTGAAGACATGGTAAACAACGTTGCGCATATGGAGTGATCTCAGCTACAACAAACTGTGCACAGAGAAACAAGAAGAAACGTACTGCGATAACCCCACCTGTCTCCAGAATGAGGGACAAGGACGAAGGTGGTGATGATGCACCAGCAAATACTGAATGGATTGTATCTGTATTTTGTGCCATGGGCTATGCTCAATACTTTACATGCATCATCTCATGTAATCTTCGTAATTCTGTGATGTAAATAGCATGATTATTTCCCTTTACAGATGAGGAAACTGACACTTGGGCTAAGTAACACGCAAAGCCACAAAATTAGTGAGAGATGGGGCTGGGCTTCCAACACATTCCTCTGCTGCCCAACTTCCCATCTTGTTTTAACCATTAGAATATATATTATTTGGCCAAAAAGAAAAGAAAAAAAAAGAAAACACATACACATATAGCTTTTTGGAGAATGGCAGGGGTCCTCCTCTACCAAAAATACAAATTGCCATGAAAAACAGTCCATTAAATTAGGAGAACAAAAAGCATTTCCAGGGAATGCTTCCTTAACTGAAATCACCTTGTCCTAAATTCCAATGCCCAGCTGATGTACCTTGCAGCTCTCTCCATTCTAGCTCATTCACCAAACACTTGTGGGCATTTAATTACGTGGTGCTGGCTGTTCCTACTCTGGCCTGCTGCCCAGCACACTCTGATAGCCCCAGGCATGGGGATTACAGCAGGAGGGGCTCCTAACATTGGCTGAGGCCCACCCAGCCCTGAACTGGGCCCAAATGCTTACCTTGGTTTTGACAAAAGCAGCCAGCGGCCCCTTGCCCAACTCCGATGAGGTCTTTTCACTGCAGCAGAGGGAAGGTGCCACCATCTGCCCGGTGGTGCGGTCCACATAGATGAAGTGTACCAAGCCTGGGAAGTCTTCTAGGTAGGTAAAGATCTGAGTCAAGGTGCTTACCAAGCCAGGAGCCAGGGACGGCCTGCCTATCCATGCCCTGGGCTTCCAGCTGTGCCCAGCCATGGTGGCAGGAGGGCCAGGACTACCTTTTTCCAGAGACTTCCATTTCAGCCAAGCCCCCTGTATCCTTGCTTCCTCGGATCCCCCACTACCTTCCAGTTCCCCAGGCCTTGGGAATCTCTAAGATCCTTGACACTCGTACATTTAACACGGGCAGTTCTGGCCCTACAGGAACATAGGATGCTCACAGTTCATCATTTCCATGAGGGATGAATTTAAGTCAGACACACGAGAGGCTGGAGTGTGAGCACAGCCATGTGGTTCATGAGTGAGTCTAGCTGACCACCCAACCTATGTGCCTCACTGTGATCTTGCTAAATTCTTACACTTCATCATGAGAGCTTGGAAGGCTCCCATTAGGGAGGGGAAGGGACATCCATGGAAGGGCAGCCACTGGTGGCTAAAGAGGCCCTGACATCTTTCACCTGCCCACTGAGGACCTGTCTCAGGAGACCGGGGGCTGGACACTTGAGATGGTACAGGAAAAGCTGTTTTACTTAAAGTTTCATGGTAAGGCAGCATTCAATAAAACTAGTTTTCTATAATGAAAGGGTCAAATACATCTTAGGAATGGTTTTTGAAAGAGGGATAAACATTTATTGCAGGCCTTCTCAGAGCTTTTCCATGCCACTGTGCACTGTGATCCAAGAAGGCCATGGCCCTGGTTTCCACCCAACTAGACCACAGGAACCCACCCCGTCCCTACCCCTCAAGGAATACCTATTACCATTTTGCCAGCTGGGCAATGCTGACATAAAGGGCTTTATGGCTTTTGTGAATGAACTTTGGGACAGGAGGAACTGCAGAAATTTCAGCTTGGAGTGTACTATAGACAGGGCACATGAGCCACTGTGTCCTGTTATTTTCCTGCAGAGGTGGTGAATAGCCGAGGGGGTGGAACATATATATTCCCCTTCCCTGGGGCCCGTGGTCCTTCCAGGGAGCAGGTGTGGAGGCAGCAGACCTGAGAGGCTTGTGGGGCTGGCTGGGGCCCCAGTGTGAGGATATGACACCATGGTGATATTCCTCCTGCTCTTCACCAGCAAGAAGTCCTTCCAGTCTGTCAGCTTCTCCCTGCCAAGGGAAGCTCCGGCTGTGTGAAGGAGGTCAGGCCCCACACCCTGCCCTGGCCATCCAGGGGGCCGCACCACACTTACTGCATGAGCCTCTGCATTTGGTCCTGTAGGTGCTGGGGCAGATGTGGGCCTCCCCTGCTGGGGGCTGTGGTCAGGAAGTTTAGCTGGTAGATGGCACACAGCTGCCGCTTCACCTTCCCACATGCCTGGAGCAGCCTGGGCATGAGAAAGGAGAGCATCACAGCAGAAGGGACTTAGGGGAGCCCCTGGCCCCATATGGACCACCCCATTCCTGCACCCAGGACAGACAGACCTGGGGAGCCCCTCACCCCATGTGGACCACCCCACTCTGTACCCACAAAAGACAGACCTAGGGGAGCCCCTTGCCCCTCGCCCCATATGGACCACCTACTCCTACCCCCAGGACAGAAAGACCCGGGGAGCCCCTTGCATCCAAGTGGGCCACTTCGTTCCTGCACCCAGTAGAGACAGACAGACAGACTGACCTGGGGAGCCCCTCGTCCCCATGTGGACCACCCTACTCCTGCACCCAGGACAGACAGACCGACCTGGGGAGCCCCTCGTCCCCATGTGGACCACCCTGCTCCTGCACCCAGGACAGACAGACTGACTTGGGGAGCCCCTCATCCCCATGTGGACCACCCTGCTCCTGCACCCAGGACAGACAGACCGACCTGGGGAGCCCCTCATCCCCATGTGGACCACCCTGCTCTTGCACCCGGGACAGACAGACCGACCTGGGGAGCCCCTTGCCCCCATGTGGACCACCCTGCTCCTGCACCTAGGACAGACAAACTGACCTGGTGATCCCCTCACCCCCATGTAGACCACCCCGCTCCTGCACCCAGAACAGACAGACCGACCTGGGGAGCCCCTCACTCCCATGTAGAGCACCCTGCTCCTGCACCCAGGACAGACAGACCGACCTGGGGAGCCCCTCACTCCCATGTAGAGCACCCTGCTCCTGCACCCAGGACAGACAGACCTGGGGAGCCCCTCGCCCCCATGTACACCACCCCGCTCCTGCTCCCAGGACAGACAGATGGAAACACCTAAGGGAACATCCACAGCTGATCAGGCAATAGGAAGGAGCTCCTCAGCTTCTCCATGTGATGTTCCACATACATGGGAAGAAACCTCCTTTCTTGAAATTATTTTGCTGATAAACAAAGTGCAGTGGTGGAGGAGACATGGTCTCTTAGGGAACAGTCCCCCAGGCACATGACCCACCCCTTGTCCTGAGGGCCCACCACTTACTCCCAGGAGGATCTGGGCCCACTTTTGGAGAAAGCCTTGGCCTTAAACTCCAGCCAGGTGCTCTGTAAAGAAGACAGGTGGCAGGTCTGCTTCCTGATCATGTTTCCAGTGGGGTCCAGGCCACAGTCCTTCCGAGGTTAGGCTCTGAGCAAGCACAGGGCCCCCAGACAAATCTGCCCATCTGGTGAATATGGGCTACCCTGGCAGGCCTTACCAGCCTCCTGCACACTGCAGTGTTCATATTCTAGTCACTTAGCAGCCTTTATTTAAAGGGGAGTTTCCAGGAGTTCACTGCCTGATGGCCATAGGCACATACAGTAGCACCATCACAACGACCTGGCCAGCCCCTCTGGGGGCACATACAGGGCAGGGGCTGAGATGTGCGGAGAAGCTGCTGCTGCAGAAGCTGGGAGGGCATGGGGCAGCCTTGCAGGGGGCGGCCTCTATAAAGGAGGAGAACTTGGTTTCTAGTGAAAGCGCTCATTAGGATGCCCTGAGGCACTGTGGGACGGCCCTGCCTCTGCCTCCAAGAAGAGGAGCCTGGGTCTGGGCATCAGCTGCTTGCTCTGCCTCCTCCATCCAGTCCTGCTGCTGCCTTCAGACTGACAGGCACTCCAGCCACAATGAGTCCCAGCTCCTAAAACACCCCAGGCACCGCCAGCTGCAGAAGCAGCCCCCAGCTGCTTAAATCCAGTGCTGCCCCCTGACCCTGCCCCATCCAGGCCCTGACCTGGGCTGTGTAGAGCGTGTGGTGAGGGCCTGTTTCTATGCCTGCATGTTGTCACATGTCTCCTGATCTCAGCTCCCAACTTGGGCCCTAAGCTCCTTGCGGGTAGGGTGGGACTGTGTCCTGCATGTCCTGGTGTTGCCCTGAGAGCCCAGGTGCAAGGCCCCACTGCAGGGAGGAGGCCCATGACTGGCAGATCCCCGGCCTGCACCTGCTCATTGCATCCAGGCTCTGGCTCCACCGCTCAGGAGCCACATCATCTTGACCAAGTTAAAACTTATCTAAGCCTTAGTTTCCATAAAAGGGGAATTATAATTCGTGTTGTGCCAAACACATATAAAAAGCTTCTGAAAGCCTAAAAAACAGCTAAGTTTTCATTATCATTTCATAATAGGGAAAACAAGGACTGTAAGCCTGTTGTGGAGCCAGGACAGGAACCCAGGCCCGCCGGCCCCTCAGCTGCTGTGGACCCGGTGGCCCCTGCTGCCAGCCCTGCCCCTTCTCCTCCAGGTGGGGAGGACTGGAACCTGGATCTCACCTGAATCTCCTGTCCTCCTCGATTCTTGACAAACTTGTCCATCCTCTGGCGCAGGTCTCCCACAAGAGGCTGGGAGCGCAGGGCAGCCCCGGCCTCTGACGCTTCCTTCAGCTTCTTCTCCAGCACAGAGAAGCCATCCAGCAGCTGGGACAGGAGCAGGGCCAGGGGTGCACTGGGGCTCTGAGGGAAAAGACCAAGAGGTGGGTGAACAGGGTTGCCCCTGGGGGAGCCGCGCCAGCCCCAAGCGTCACCAGGGCAGGGTGAGGGGCTCTCATACCCTGGTCAGGAGCACTAGGTTGATGCCTGGCCACAGGGGCAGGCAGTACATGGTGTGGGGCACTAGGGGGCAGTAGCTTTCCTTCACGTTGGTGTCCAGAAAGATCCTTCTGGGGCTGGAAGGCGCAGGAGAGTGGGGAACCAGCGTTTGGAGAGTGTCCTCCGCTATCTACCGAGGAAGAAGAGCTGCAATGAGAGGTGGGATCCCCAAGTCGGACCCACCTCTGTGGGTCCAGCATGTCCACTGCTGCCCTATCTGTGAAGCACAAGAAATAAACATTTTTAGCTCTAAGAAACTCCAGTTTTCAAGTCCCAGCATTCTGCTGAACCGGCCCTCGCAGCTCCAGTTCCACTGTCGCCCCTCTCCCTCAGCTGTTCCTGGTCCTTTCTGCCCAGAGTCTGGCCTGGGTGCCAAGCAGGGAGTGGGCAGGGGCAGAGGAGCTGGGTGGTGGCACAGAGAGGATCAAGAAGGCAGGGAAACGCGCACTCGTGGATGGGGAGAGGTCCCCTCCCCACACTTTTGACAGATGGAGGTATCTAACGTCCAACATTTTGTCATTTCAGTCACCCTCAGAACATCCCAACAGCCCCTCAAATTGGGGAAACTGAGGCATAAAGTGACCAAATGAGCAAGGCTCCAGCCTTATGAAGGGCTCAGAGTAAGAAAGCCTTTAGAGCAAAAAATTATAGAATTAAGGAAATCAGGAGAAATGCCACAAAAATTCCTCTTCAGTGTTTCATATAACAGCAAACACTGGACACAATGTCCCGATTTTCCTGGGGATTTGCTAGATAAAGAACATATGCCTGCGAGGGACTCCCAGACACTCATTAAAACCACACTGTGGGAGTGCTTAGCAAACGGAAAAATGTTTAAATAAGAAAGTATAATGAAGTACGTTCTCATCCGAATCTGATTTTAAAAATACACACATGTACATATACTATGTTGTGTGTGTGTGTGTGTGTGTAAAGTCAGAGGGGAAAACAAGACTAGAAGGAAACAACCAAGATGTTCATCTCATTTTGAGGATGGAATTGAGAGTGATTTTTATTCCCTTTTTTATAGTTTACTTTTGTATTTCCCAATTTTTCTACAATAAATGTACATGCTCACTTAAAAAAAAATAAAAAATTCCATTAGGCTTTCACTCCCAAGAACAATGGAGCTGAGGGACAGTACCTGGGGGAGGGGAGGGGCAAGGTCACCACCCTCACAGCCCATCCCCAGACCCTGCCTCTGGGCTGAGCTTTGGCACCAGGACAGGCCCCTGCACTGACCAGCCTGGGGTGTGAAGGAGAAGGGCTGGCCTGGGTAGAGTCATCCTGGAGGCAAAGCCTTCGGAGCCCCCAATACTTACTGTGGCATCTCAGATCAGCTGGTCCCCAGGCAGACGCAGGAGAAACTCACCTGAAGGGCATCCATGGGTGGGGTACCCCCCTCCAGCCAGACAGTGCTACCTGCAGGCCACAGGTAATAACATAACAATGTAAGTACCATGAGATGTAAGCCACAGCCCAACAGCATGGGGTCGGGGGCCCAGATGCCCCACAACCCAGCCCTTGGCTGGAAGCTCTAGGCAGGGATGCTAATGTGACTGGAGCAACACCCCCTACATCCTAAGTTAGCAGGTGCAAGGTGAACTCTGCAGGACAGGGCTAAGGCAGCCTGGGCCTGGCAGAGAAGCTTCCCCAAGAGCCAGCTGCTGAGAATGGAGCTCCTGAGGACATGTTTGGTAATGGTGGTTGGGACCAGGGGGAATCTTCCTCCCTGAACTCCCTTGGCCCCTTAATCCCCTCCTTGTTCCGCTTCAGGCCTCAACCCACCCCTTAGGAGTCAGCACACAGTCCACATTTGCCCATTCATTTATTCAACCAGTAAATTCTTACTGAGCACCTACTGTGTGCTAGAAATTAAGTTGGATTTCCTTCCTAATATAGTGCACAAAAATCTACTGAACCCACCACATATCTGAAATATGTGTTTATTTACATATTTCAAATTACAAATTATGTGTTTGTAATAATACTGTTCCCTCTCATATTTCATTGCAGACAACCCTCATTTATAATCATGTTTCTCCGGGGGAAGTGTGTTCCTACATTTTAAACACCTGATTTACAAATGGAGAAGTGCAATTCAAGCCATTTGTAAGTTGTGAGTTCTGTGCATGGTGGAACAGCACTATTTTTTTTACAGTTCTGAGGCATAAAAAACCACTATGGAGAGAGAGGGACTGGGAGAAGGACGGTGATGAATGAGGGAAGAAGAGGAACTTCGGAGATTACCCGGAAGCACTGCTTTCAACAGGTCTCAGGCTCAGAGAGAGCTTAGGGAATCTGAAGATAGCCAGGAACCCTCGGCCCAGGAAATACACAGGCATAGATGGGTTCACACACAGTCTCAGGGAGTCCTAGGCTTCTAGCCAGTTCAAAGACCTAATTTAAGAGCATCTAACCCAGTGGCTGTCAACCTCGCCTATACATGAAAATCATTTGGGGACCTCTACAAAATCCTGACGCTCAGGCCACAGCTCAGACCAAGTGAGTCAGCATCTCTGGGTACAAGCTCGGTTTCAATAATTGTTAAAGATCCCCAGGTGAGTTCAAGATGCAGTCAGCGGGCACACCATGCTGTAACCTAACTCTATGCACAGCAGTTCTTCGCTCCTGAGGCACATTGGACTCAGCTGGGAAAATTTCCTAGAAGTATTCACACCTGGGTCCCAGGCCCACAAACTAACATAATTGGGCTGGCTGAAATTGCCAGGTGATTCCAATGTGCCAGGGTTGGGAGCCACTGGTTAAAAGGAGCCACATGGCCAGGTGCGGTGGCTCACGCCTATAATCCCAGCACTTCGGGAGGCCGAGGAGGGCAGATCATCTGAGGTCGGGAGTTCGAGACCAGCCTGGACAACATGAAGAAGCCCTGCTTCTACTAAAAATACAAAATTAGCCGGGCATGATGGTGCATGCTTGTAATCCGAGCTACTCAGGAGGCGGAGGTTGTGGTGAGCCGAGATCGTGCCATTGCACTCCAGCCTGGGCAACAAGAGCAAAACTCCAACTCAAAAAAAAAAAAAAAAAAAAGGAGCCACATAATAAATTCTTTTCAAATCCTAGTCCCTAACAGGCTTCTCCTGACACCCTGGCCTTCTTGTTTCCATCAGATGATGTGGATGGACCACAGGATCCTTTTTTTTTCTCCTAAGAACTTCAGAGATAAATGTAATGCTCATTCATAGTGACCACAACAGTCTGGATTTTGGTTTATCTATTTCTGTAAGCAAAGTTGTCTATTTTTTGTTGACAGTTTGAATATTTATAGTTTTTTAATTGTTTACCCACATACTTTGGAAAAACAGGTAAAGTATAAACTATAGAGGCTGAATATTTATATTTTAGAATGTATTGAAATGAGATGATGATTACTTAATTGAACTTAATTTTTAATTACAAAAGAGAAAGATGAGTCTGAGAATGCACAAAAGTCTTCAATGAAATCAACTTGTCATCAACAGCTTTAGGGATAAGTGGAGTGGTCTTAATAGTCCTTGAGTTCAGGCTGGAGCTGGCAGAGAAGATGGGGAGCCATGGACAGTGTCCTGTGCTCTAGGAACATGGGCACCTGCGCTCAGGCCTTACAAGGCACAGGGCCGGGGTGTGGGGGTAGGGGGAGTGGGCATTGAAGCCTAAGAGAGATCTCCTGGGCTGCCAATCACTACTGCCCACTAGCTATAGTCTCCTGCTCCCCTCTGGGCCTCACCTGAGCTCTGATCTCCAGGGGAAGGAGCTGGTGTGAAGTACTCCTCAGGGAGGGAGAAGCTGTCTGTCTCCTGGGAGGGAGAAGGCAACTTAGTCTGAGAGGCTCTTCCAGCTGGCTCAAGCCTGTTCCTGCTCTCCTGGAAGGAGCGGGAAAGGCCTGGCTGCCTGTAGAGACCGATCCCCTCCTGCCCCCAGCTCCACGAAGGCACAGCACACACCGTCTCTGCAGAGCTCCCCCCGGTTAGGCCTGTGGAGTGAGGGCTCCAGGCCTGCTGCACGGGGATGTTCTGGCTGCTCCGGGCCCTTCGTGAGGAAGGCTGTGCAGGGCAGGGAAGAGGCTGGTTAGCTCCAATCTGACCTCCCTCCACTCCTTCTGACTCCCAGCACTTCACAGAGAAGCCCCCACCCCTCCACGCGTTCCAGGTGCAGTCCTAGGTGTGCAGTCCTCAGACTTCCCAGGAATTTGATTCTAGGTGGTCTATTCTGTGGAAATTCCAACACACTGGTATCCAACCCACCACTACCCTTGGTGATGTGATGGTGGTGGCTAACACTGAGCATTCACTGTGCCCCAAGCACTGCCAGGCTCCATGGAAACTGTCCCTTTTGTCCCTCCAAACACCCCTGAGAGGTGGATGCTTTGTTACTCCCATTGCACAGATAAGGGCACTGACACTCCCAGGGTGCAAGTATGTGCTCAGCTCACAGAGCCCGGTGAGGTGGTGAAGCTGGGTTTCAAACCATGGCTGACTCGAAAACTCTGCACTTTTAACCCACTGGACCATGTGCACTCAAGAATTCCCCTCACATCTGAAAGCAGTGCGAAAGAAGTCACACCCAACCATACACCCAGAATTGGGACTTAGAAAACATGGACTCCCCAGCGGGTGCCTGCCCACCACTTTCCAGGCAGGTTTTCTGAGCCACCTCCCTACCAGCTCCCTCTACCCAGAGAGCTGCCCTGAGACCTGAGCATCGTCCTCTGCTGTGCTCTCACTGGGGTAGAGGTCCTGAACCAGGAGGATGAGGGCGAGCAGGTCGGCCGGGCGCAGGGAGCTGGCGCTGTGGCTGCAGACACAGGAGCATGGCCACCCATCAGCATGTGCCCGGCAGGAGATGGGGCAGGCAGGTTAAAGGAGTGCGGAGCCTGGCCCCTGCCCTCAAGAAGCAATGTACTTAATCCTTTCTGGAGACAGGCAAGGCACCAATACAATTAATGAACTCATCACATTTTAAAATAAAACTTGGTTTTCTTTTAAACAACAACAAAAGAAAATGATTTACCAGTGGGAAAGCACCAGAGGCCAAGAACAACATAAAAGGAAGTCCTAGATTGAGACTCTAAGACAGTGTGCCAGGAAGAAATGATAGACATGAGTGAGATGAAAAAACGGAGAAGCAAATCTGGGAAGGTTTCAGGCTTCATGGAGGAGGTGATTCTTGGCTGGGCAGGTGGTGCTTTTCAGGCAGAGGGAATAAGGGGAAGTGGGAGGCCAGGGAGCCTTTGGCCACCACACGCCAGACCCTGAGCTCACCTAGAGTAGAATGCCAGCAGCTTGGAGTGCACGAGCAGGAAGGTGTGCAGGGCCTCCTCGCCGCCCCGCTCGGGGCTGGTGTTGACAGCCTGAATGACGTGCCGCTCCAGTGCCTCTATGCACAGCTCACAGAGCTGGGGGTGAATCAGCCGCTCCAGGGCCTGGCCAGGGCAGGCAGGGAGAAGAAGCTGTGTCACCAACCACCCTGCCCGACTCCAGCCCCTGGGTTAGTGGGAACATTCACTCTGACAACACTGAGCTTGGACTCTACACCAGATATGTGAACAGGGGAACTAAAACCCACTGGGTCCCAGCCTTCCTGAGGCTTACCATCTGTCTGGTCACTAGACTCCAGTGGATGAGGCAAGGCAATACACAAGGAAATAAAGTAAGGGCCATTTGTAAATAAGCACCAAGTACAAAATATGCAGCACTGGACTAGGGAGAAATCGCAGAGACCTCCTTGGGTGGGGTGTCTGAAGAAACGTCCCTGAATTAGGTCACCTTTAAATTAATATCTAAAGAACCAGATGGTCTGCCAGAGAAAGAGGGAGTGAGAGAACACTGCAAGCCAGGGAAACTGCATAGTCAGAGGCCCTGAGGTGGGGAATGAGTTTGGAATGGTGCTGTCCAACAAAAATAAAAGGCGGGCCCTATGCATAATTTAAATTTTTCCAGTGACCACATTAAAAAAGTTAAAAGAAACAGTTGACGTTAATTTTAATAGTATATTTCATTTTATCCAATATATCCAAAATATCACCATATGATATAAAAGCCTTATTAATGGAATGTTTTACATTCTTTTTTTGTGCTAAGTTACCAAAATCTGGTATATATTTCACAGGCATAGCATAACTCAATTTGGACTAGCTATATTTCAAATGTTCAACAGCCACATGTAGCTAATGATTACCATATTGGACAGATCTAAATGGAGAGTTTTCCTGAAGTTTCATGTGACTAGTGCTCAGTAGGTGTGGATGAGAGGCATGAAATGAAGCTGGAGTGAGACAGGCAGCAATAGATCACACAGTGCCTGGTAGGCTTGGGAAGGAGTTTGGATTTTATATTAATGGCATTAGGTCACCTCCTAAAAGAAGGTTTTCCTAATGTCCCAGAAAGAGTTAATCACTCCATCTCTTGTGCCACCATGGCTTTTGATGAAAATCCTAATATGGCATCCAGGATTCTTTATTATATCTTGGCATAAATCATGGCTGATTTCCCCTCAAGGGCAAATAATGTGTCTTTGTTCATCTCTTTATTCCCATGGCCTGGCACAACTCTTAGCATATAATAGGTACTATATGTTTATCAGAAAACCGAGTGAGTGGAGGGTGTGAGAATGAATTCCTTCAGAACTATTTTCCAACTCACTAATTCTGTCTCTAGCTATGTCACATCTGCTATTTAACATACCCCTTGAGTTTTTCATTTTAACAACTATGTTTCCGTGTCCTAAATATCTGTATGTGTTCTTTTTCAAATCTGCCTGGTCATTTTAGAGCTTCTTCTTATCTCATTTTGTGATTCTATATTTTATATCTTTAAATATTTCATAGTTATTTTATATCCTATACCTAATAGTCCAATGTATCAAGTGCCTTGGGATCTAAATATGCTGGTGACTGATTTTCCTCTCACTCATGGTGACTTATTTTCTTCTGTATCTGATTTTCTTCAGTTGTGAGTTCACATTTGTTTGATTTTAACCTGTCCTCTAAAGCAGTGGTTTTTGAAGTGTGGTTCCTGGACAAGCACAGTAAACAGCACCCAGGAATTTTTTTAGAAATGCAAGTTCCAGAGGCCCCATCCCAAACTTAGTAAATGAGAAACGCTGAAAGTGAGGCCCAGTAACCTGTATTTGACAAGCCTTGCAGAGGATTCTGACACACACTGGAGTATGAAAACCACTGTTCACAAGAGAATTTGGTTTACCTGTTTAGGAAGCCAAGGAGTTCTACTGACCAGCAGGCACTTTAGTTTTTATTTTTAATATTTTACTTTTTTATTTACTAGGCTTTATAAAGGGACCAGCAGCCACTTTAACTCCTTAGGGCTGGGCTTAACTTAGAGTTGCAGGCTCAGCTCTTCTATGCTGCTGATGGCCTAAGGCTGTTTACTGGCTGTAGTGCTGGTGTCATTTGCACTCAAGGCAATCTTGCCTTTAGTGCTGTGTTTTTCTCCACTGCTTTCCACTCCAGTTCCAGGTCAATATAATTTTGTGGGAGGAAGAGCTGAGGGTTGAAGAAACTGTCTTTAAAGATTTCTGTAATTTACGGTGAACCCCAAAATTACATCAAAAGTGTGTGTTATCCAGGATAAGCTGTTTTACTATGGGAAAACCCATCAGCGTACCCTACCCTCCCTACAGCCAGAAAGAACAACTCTCTATGATTACACAAGTTTCAGAGGCTGCTTGTGCCTTCACTCATCAGGGTTAAAACACAGTCTCAAAGCTGGATGCCCCCCTGACCTGACAGCTCCAAGGATTGAGGACTCCCGCGCCCAGTAGTCACCTCCACGGCAAAGCACTGCTCCTGCTCCCGCAGGCGGCTGTAGGTCCACAGCAGGCTCTGGAAGTGTGTCCACAGCTGGACACGCTGCTCTAGGTCTGGGGGCCGCAGCCTGAGGGCAGAGCCAGAGACAGCAGGAAAGACCACAGGAAAGCTGGCTCCCCCAAACCCACCAAAGGACCACAGTCCCAGCTCGGTGCCACAGCTGGGTGAGCCCATGTGACCTGCCTATACAGCTGGGAAAAAGGACCAGATTTCTGGCCGAGCTCTAGCTGCAGAGTGGGGTGGGATAGGCACGGAGCCAGAAAGCAGGTCGCTGAGCAATTTACCTCACTCCTCAACCTCTGTCACACAAACAACCATCACACAAAGCCAGCTACAGAGAGCCAGCATGCTGCTTAATCATGTCACACAGAGGCCACTGAACACAGAAAGGACTGGTCTATCATTAGGGCCCTACCCAGGGTCGCAGCCATCTTGGAGTCTGGCAAGGTCTGCACTGGCCAACGTGGTTCATGTAACAGGCATCCACTACCTGTCGCATTTGCCATTGAAACCATGACCGACCTGGGCTAAAATGACTCATGAAATGATGTTTGCTCGTTTGAGAAATGCCTCGACTTGAGTGCTTACTTATATCATTACAAAACTCTGAAGTCCCAAAGTTTCAAACTCTGCAGCTTCCCAATCCATCTCAGAGAATCAGGGGTGGTGATACCATGAACTTCTCTTTTCTAGGTCCACATTTCAACTACAAGCCTTTCCTGGGGTCCCTCCCACCTCAGTGTATACTCTGAACCACCATTCTCTTTCCCCAAGTTCTTTACCGTAGGCCCAGAGACAGGTTTTAGGGTCTGTCTCCTGAGAAAACCTTCACAAGACTGCATGAGTGTGCCTGGGCGTAGGTTCTTCTGGAGAGAGAGTCTGAAGCTTGAGAAGCCAGACAGGACTAGCTCAGACCAGATTTGTAATGACAGGTGACGACACTGGGAGAATGGAAGGAGGACTGGACCGAGAGTCCTGAGCTCCGATTTCCAGTCTGGATGTGGCCACCAACCAGCTGGATGACCCCAGGCGAGTTAGTTCAGTTCCCTGCTCTCAGTTTCACTAGATATAAAGTCAAATGAACTCCAAGGTTCATTTGAGCTCTGTTTCTGTGACCTAGGGACCCAGCCGGGAGCAGTGTGTGAAAAATGGCAGCTTCACAGGGGCTGGGCAGGGTGGTCGGCAAAGGACAGAGGGGACCAGCTTTGAGGACTCACTCTTTTCGGATAAGCTGACTGTCCACAGTCACCAGCCCGAAGTGTACTTCGAACAGGCACTTGAGCACGTATAGCTTCCGCCGCAGGTCCCCCTCGCTCTCAGTGTGGTCGCCGTTGATGGCAATGAAAAGGATTTCTCCAAACTGCAGGCACAGGTGGGCCGGAGTCAGCCAGCCCCAGGCACTCCCTTCACCTGCCCTGGTCTCTACAGACAAGCCAGGGGAAGCTCAGGTCCCAGGGGAGTTTGGTAAGATGCCATTTCTGCTTTCTAAAGGAGTCTAAAGTTCCAGATAAGAGGGAGCCTGTGGACTCCCCATGGAGCCGAGGGAAGAGGAACACGGACCCCAGAGCTAAAGACTCACCAGGTGAAGCACATACAGGGAGTTGCCGTTTTCTGTGGAGAAGCAGGTGTAGGTGTCCGAGAGCTTTTCTAGCATTGTCATGGAGGAGATGATGACCGGGGCGAGGAGGGTGCTGAGCTGGTCCTCCAGGGCAGGGAGCTGCAAAAGGGGAAAAACAGCACAGCTTAGAATGGGCCAGACACCAGGAACAAAGGAAGGGATGAGGCCAGGCCTTGACATCAAGGGCTCCATAGTGTTAGACCCTCCTGGGAGGGTATCACTGTCCTGATAGGCAGGGGGACAAAAAGAGACTGCCCCCAACACTTTGGGTGGTGGTTAGGAACACTGGGGAAGGCCAGCCAAGTAATGGTGCTGTTTAGGCTCTGAATCTACAAGGAAACATGAAGGAATTAGGCCTCATCACAGTAGTGGAATGTGGGGAGCACTGAACAGGGAGCTGGAAGGAAGTTTGCGGCATGTATCAAAGTCTATGCTGCTTTTTGCACTAAGTCTACTTTGGAAAATTTGTCCTAAGGGAAATGATCAGAGATGGGGACAAAGACACATGCACAGAGATGTTCACTACTCCATAATTTATAATAGCAAACAACCGGAAAAAAAATGTAAACATCCAGTATCAGGGAAATAGTCAAATAAATAACAGTACCTCAAAATTATGGAAGAGTCTATAGCCACTTAAAATATTACAGTGTTTTCATGACGTGGAAAATTCCTCTAATATAATGTTGTAGCTAAAAATAAAACAAGAAGGTGAATGCATTGAAAAAACAAAGTATTGAGAAAGCCAATGCTATTAAAGTTACTTCTCGATAGAGGAATTAGGAGTGATTTTTTTCCCTCTATTTTTAAGTATGTTTCTGTACTTTCCCTATTTTGCATAACAAGCCTGCATGACTCTGATAAGCTCTTCCTCCAACCATTATCTGAGCTCTCCAAAAGAAGAGAACAAATAAACAAAAACAAAAAGGAACTGGATGAGTTTGTCAAAAATGTGTGAATAAAATAGGATAAAGCCAGTGGAACACTTACAACTCAAATTCTCCACAGTGGAATAAAAAGAAAGGAGGAAAACCGCAGACTTCCCAAGAGGATTTCAGGAGACATGAATGAAACATAGGGAAGGCAGAGTTCTAACTTGGAGCGGGGGAAATCTATAAGGAGCTGAGTAAGACTTTGCCTTGAAATGAAAGACGGGCAATTGGCCAGTGGTAAGGTGCAGTAGTAAAGTACAAGTGGGACACAGCATTATGGAGTAGGTTTTCCTCAACACTCAGGAACCCAGGACTGTGTCCAGCTCCCACAGTCTGTCTCTCAAGTTTTCACAGAGGCTTCTACTCATCATTCTGGTCCCAGCTCAGATTGTTCTTTTTCTGGCCACCTCAGGCCACCACCACCCCCCAACCCCTGCTTCTGTCACTCCCCATCCCATATCTCATTTAACTTCTCCAGACTATTTGTCACTACCTGAACTCATGGTACTTATTTGCCATCTGGTTCACTGTACAATGTCCTTCTTTAGACTCTAAGTTCCATGAAAGCAGAGATCATGTTGCTACGTTCACTGCATTACCGCCAAAGAATGGCACATGGTAGGTTCTCAATTAATATTTGGTTAATGAATACCCCCGCAGATAGGAGAGAATTCAATGAACAGGCAAGAATTCAAATATTTGCTGAATTATTCATATACTATGATTTTTTTGAACTGTTGTGAACAAATTTTATTAATAGAAAAGTCACTTATGAATCTAGATTTTATATAAAAACTCATCTTAAAAGCAGTACAGTCATGTACTGAGTAGCAACGTTTTGGACAAAAACAGACCATGCATGATAGTGGCCCCATAAGATTATGCTACCGTATTTTTGCTGTACCTTCTCTATGTTCATTCAGATACACAAACATTTACCACTGTGTTACAACTGCCTACAGTATTCAGTACAGTCACATGCTGCACAGGTTTACAGTCTAGGAGCAACAGGTCATACTGTACAGCCTAGGTGTGTAGTTGGCTATACATCTAGGTTTGTGTAAGTATACACTATGATGTTCAGATGACAAGAAAATCACCTAATGATGAATTTATTATTAATAGAATGTATCACCGTCATTAGAGGAGGCATGACTACAGCTTTTTCTGCAGGAATAGACCATGTTTTTGGTAAGCCCTGTGTCCCCACACAAATCTCATTTTGAATTGTAATCCCCAGAATTCCCACATGTCAAGGGAGACAAGGTAGAGATAACTGAATCATGGGGTGGCTTCCCCCAGGCTGTTCTCATGAGAGTGAATGAGCTGATGGTTTTATAAGGGCCTCTTTCCCATTTGGCTTGATACTTTTCCTTCCTCCTGCCTTGTGAAGAAGGTGCCTTGCTTCCTCTTTGCCTTCCACCATGACTGTAAGTTTCCTGAGGTCTCCCCAGCCATGCTGAACTGTGAGTCAATTAAACCTCTTCTCTTTATAAATTACCCAATCTCAGGCAGTTCTTCATAGCAGTGTGAAAACAGACTAACACAGTAAATTGATACTGCAGAGAGTGAGATGCTACTATAAAGATACCTGAAAATGTGAAAGGGACTTTGGAACTGGGTAATAGGCAGATGCCTATTTGGAAGTTTGGAACTTCCCAGAGACTTGTTGAATGCTTTTGAACAAAATTCTGATAGTGATATGGACAAGAAGTCCAGGCTGAGGTGGTCTCAGATGGAGATGAGGCACTTAGTGGGAACTGGAACACAGGTGACTCTTGTTATGCTTTAGACACTGGCAGCATTGAGTCCCTGCCCTAGAGATCTGTGGAACTTTGAACCTGAGAGAAATGATTTAGGGTATCTGGTGGAAAAAAATTCTAAACAGCAAAGCATTCAGGAAGTGATTTGGGTGTGCTGAAAAGCATTCAGTTTTATGAATTCATTAACAGATGCTTTGGATTTGGGACTTATGTTTAAAAGGGAAGAAAAGCATAAAAGTTTGGAATATTTGCAGCCTGACGATGCAACAGAAAAGAAAATCCCATTTTCCAGGGAGAAACTCAAGCCCTGGCTGTAGAAATTTGCATAAGTAATGAGGAGCCAAAGGTTAATCACCAAGACAATGGGAAAAATGTCTTCAGGGCACCTCTGAATACTTCACAGCAGCCCCTCTCACCACAGGCCTGGAGGCCTAGGAGGAAAAAAATGGTTTCAGGGGCTGGGCCCAGGGCATTGCTGCTTTGTTTGAGATTGCAGTCTCAGGGCTTGGTCCCCTGAAACCCAGCCATGGCTAAAAAGTGCCAACATACAACTCAGGTAGTTGTTTCAGAGAATGCAAGCCCTAAGCTTTGGTGGCTTACCTGTGGTGTTGGGCCTGCAGGTGCACATAAATAAAAAACTGACGTTTGGGAACCTCCACATAGATTTCAGAGGATGTATGGAAATGCCAGGATGTGCAGGCAGAAGTTTGCTGCAGGGGTGGAGCCCTCATGGAGAACCTCTGCTAGGGCAGTGCACAGGGAATTGTGGGGTCAGACACACACACACGGAGTCCCCACTGGGGCATTGCCTAGCGGAGCTGTGAGAAGATGGCCACCATCCTCTAGACCCCAGAATGGTAGATCCACTGACAGCTTACACCGTGCACCTGGAATAGCTGCAGACACTCAACACCAACCTGTGAAAGCAACTGGGAGAGGGATTGTACCCTGCAAAATCACAGGGTTAAAGCTGCCCAAGGCCTTGGGAACCCACCTCTTGTATCAGTGTGGCCTGGATGTGAGACATAGAGTCAAAGGAGATCATTTTAAAGCTTTAAGATTAGACTGTCCCACTGGATTTTGGACTTGCATGGGGACTGTAGCCCCTTTGTTTTGGCCAATTTTCTCCATTTGGAATGGGAACATTTATCCAGTGCCTATACCCCCATTGTGTTTTGGAAGTAATTTGTTTTTTATTTTACAAGATCATAGGTGGAAGGATCTTGCCTTATCTCAAATGAGATTTTGGTCTTAGACTTTTGGGTTAATGCTGGAATGAATGAACACTTTTGGGAAGGCACCATTGGTTTGAAAATGTGAAAGGGACTTGAGATTTGGGAGGGGCCTGATGCAGAATGATATGGTTAGGCTTTGTGTCCTCACCCAAATCTCATCTTGAATTGTAATCTCCATAATCCCCATAATCCTCATGTGTCAATGGAAAGACCAGGTGTAGCTAATTGAATCATGGGGGCAGTTTCCCCCACGCTGTTCTTGTGATAGTGAGTACTCATGAAATCTAATGGTTTTATAAGGGGCTCTTCCCCCCTTCAGTCAGCACTTCTCCTTCCCACTGCCTCCTGAAGGCACCTTGCTTTCCATTCACCTCCTGCCATGATTGTAAGTTTCCTGAGGCCTCCACAGCCATGCTGAACTATGAGTCAATTAAACCTCTTTCCTTTACAAAGTAGCCAGTCTTAGGCATTTCTTTATAGTGGTATAAAAACAGACTAATACAGGGAGATAAAAATGTGTATGTACATAGAGTATAAAGGAGCATACTCACATATTACTTGGTGGAATTATAAAGTAGTACAATAACTTTGAATGGCTTTCGACTCAATATTTTTGTTTTTAGGAATTTATCCTAGGGAAATAATCTGACATGAGATAAAATTCAAGCACAAATATTCATTAAAGCAAGCGTGATAGCTAATTAGGAGCAATATATTTGTCCATATTAGGAAAATGGTTAAATAAAGGATGATACACTGATTCATGTACTGGAGTATAGTGTTTCCATTAAGAATGATGCTTCTGAAACTATTTAAGAAAATGGAAGAAATATCTTGATATAATGGCAAGTGAAAAAAAAAAAGGCAATAAAACTGTAAATGTGATATGATTCCAATTATATAGAAAAAAATAAAGACCCAAAGAAAGTATATTAAGAAGCGAATAGCTTTGGATAGTGGAATTATAGGTCATTTAAAAACTATTTCTTTGTATTTCCAAATTTCCTAGAATTAACTCATGTTATTTATATGATGAGAAAAAAATGTATTGCACATTAACAAAACAATAACTTTAAAGACCTCCTTTCCTTTACGCTACTCATTTTTAGGAACTGAAAACTCGGTTCATTTCTTTGCCAGGTTTTTAACAAAGAGGAAGAGAAAGGCAACCAAATTGTTTGTTTCTTAAGTTGATATAGTTATAACAGTAGTTTAAAAACTGGAATACTTAATAATTCTTAATTTAAATAGTATATGTATTGACTGCTAAAAAATAAAGTCTAACAGTCTTGTTTTTAGCTTAAACAAAACCACTTGAATGTTTATGACCTCTGATATCTTGTGTTTGCCTCAAGACTGTGATGAGAACATGGGTGATGTTGATGGTAAATGGACCCCCTGAAGTGGAGCTGGCTCACTTACTGGCTGGACGATGAGACCCCTTAGAACAGGAAGGGCAAGAGGGGCAGTGGTGCTACGGAAATGTAAGAACACCCTCCACTGCATCCCCAATAAACATATCTTTAACTCAAAATTAATCTGGAAAACATTTTCAAAATAAATTACTCCTTTAAAATATACAGTGGAACTTATGTAAGTGAAAATGACAGTATTCCTGAGTTGTAATGTAAAAGTGTTAAACTGGATGTCCACATTGCCAAAGAAAAAAAAAATAACTTCAATCCATAACTCTCACCAAACACAAAAATTCAAAGGAGATCATCAGACCTCAGATAAAACCTGAAACTATAAAACTTTCAAAAGAACATGTAGAGAAAATACTTTGTGATCTTGAGTTGGGCAAAGATTCCTTAGATATAAAAGCATAATCCACAAAAGCAAAATGGATAAACTGGAATTCTAAAACTTCTGCTCTTTGACAGATACCATTGAGAATACAAACAAAAGCCACAAACTACAAGAAAGTATTTGCGAAACATATATCTGATAAAGGACTCAATCCAAAATATATCAGAGGCTTTCAAAACACAGTAAGAAAAAGAACAATCAACTCAAATATAAACTGGGCAAAAGATACGGCTAACGAGCACATGAAAAGAAGCTCAAAATCATTAATCATTAAGGAAGCAAAATTTAAAACACAATGAGATTCTAGTGGACATCTATTAGAATGGCTAAAATGAAAAAGATGGACCATAGCATTGGTGAGGATATGGAGGAACTGAACTCTCAAACACGACAGGTGGAATAAAAAATTATACAAGCTTTGGAAAAGCTTGGTAGTTTATTAAAAAGTTACATATACACCTACATGATCTAGCCATTCTATCCTAAGTATCTGTCCTCGGGCATGAGAGCATCCGTCTATCTATACATAGACTTGTACATGCATGTTCACAGTGGTTTTATCTGTAATAGTCAAAAACTGAAAATAACACAGATGTCCATCAAGTAAATGAATGAACCAATGGTGGCATCCTGATATAATAGATTACTACTCAATGAGAAAAAAGGAACTATTGATACATGCCACAACACAGATGAATCACAAAATAATTACGCCAAGTGAAAAAGTCAAACCAAAACCAAACTAAATCCAGTACATACTGTATGACTCAGCCCATAAAATGCAAACTCATCTATCATGACAGAAAGCAGACCAGCGGTTCCTACGGGATGGCGATGGGAAAGAAGGGATTACATGTTTGGGGTGGTGGATATATTCCTTTTATGGATTGTGAGAGAATCATAGGTAGATATACATATCAAGACATATCAAATTGTGCACTTTATATATGTGCAATTTATGGTATGTTAATCAGACCTTAATATGGCTATTAAAAAATTAATGTGTTCAGTTTATGTTAAACTTTTTGTTATGCTCTGCCACTGAGGCTGGAGTGCACGGGCACAATCTCGGCTCCCTGTAGCCTCTACCACCTGGACTCAAGCGACCCTCCCACCTCAACCTCCCAACTAGCTAGGACTATAGGCATGCACCACCACACCTGGCTAATTTTTTTTTTTTTTGTAGAGACAGGTTTCACCATGCTGCCCAGGCTGGTCTCAAACACCTGAGCTCAAGCAATTGGCCCACCTTGGCTTGCCAAAGTGTTGGGATTACAGGCCTGAGCCACCATGCCCAGCCTTATTAAACTTTTTAGGGTACAGAAACTGATGGCTCCAAGTTTCTCTGTTATGTGGTTAAAATTTGACTTCCTCTTGTCCTTGTTAAGTCCAGAGAGTCCTGGCGGGGTGGCGGGGTGGGGTCATTGCACTCAGAGCATCAGGAGGCCGAACTTGAGGATGAAGTTTAGGTATGAAGGATGCTGGACCTCACACAGCACCCTGCCCACGCTGCCCAGGACAGGGTGAACACAGGTTTTCCTGCCTCTCTGCCTGCTGGTAGTTTTGTACTGTTCCCTCCTATCCACCCCTCCTGGGACTGCCTACCCTGCACTCACCTCTTCTTCCTCATTCTCTGACTGCCCAAACTTCAGCCGGAGACTCTCTTCAAACTCCTCATCCGTCCAGTAGAAGAGGACCTCTGCACCCTCAGTGGTCACCAAGACACACTTCATCTGCCAGGAAAAGGCAAGGTCCAGGTCAGTCCCAGCCCCTACATCCATGGGCTCAGCCTGAGTAATGAAGAGGAGGACCCCAACACCAAGAAACATTCACTGAGCCCATTCTGCATACCAGGCACCACAAGGGCCTTCCATTTCTGTTGTACCCTCGCAACTATATAAAGTAGGACTCTTCAGGTACCCCCATTTTAGAGAGCAGGACACAGGCACAGCCTGAAGTGGCAAAGCTGGGATCTGGACCCAGGACCTCTCTGATGCCAAGGCTGGGGCTCTTTCCTCTGTGGTGTCTGGCTCCTCTCACCACAGCATTAGACCCACCACGGGCCTACTGGAACCAGACTGGGAGGGAAGAGACCCAGTTCTTAGCCTGGACATGGAGCCTCATGCCCAGGGAAGCCATGCTCACTGCAATTAGTGCCTGGTGTGGACCGGAGGGTGCTGGTGTACCTCCAACTCTGGGCAGCACAGAGATCTCTCTCCCTCAGATAACAACAGCTCCAGGGCTGGGCGCAGTGGCTCACACCTGTAATCCCAGCACTTTGGGAGGCTGAGGCAGGTGGATCACCTGAGGCCGGGAGTTCAAGACCAGCCTGGCCAACATGGTGAAACCCCATCTCTCCTAAAAATACAAAAATTAACTGGGCGTGGTGGCAGGTACCTATAATTGGGAGGTTGAGGCCGGAGAATTGCTTGAACCTGGGAGGCGGAGGTTGCAGTGAGCCAAGATCATGCCACGGCATTCCAGCCTGGGCCACAGAGCGAGACTGTCTCAAAAAAAAAAAAAGAAGAAAAGAAAAAAGAAAACAGCTCCTGAAGATGAGCCTCAAAGCCCCTGAATTTATTGCAGCACCACAGAAGTTTCATTCAAATGCTGCTCCCCCTGCCTAAGGATCTTGTACTTAGTAGGCTGCAGCTTCCACGGCCACAGCAACCAGTGTCCTCTCCCTCCCAAATCTCCTTCCCCACACTCTCCCCCAAACACCACACACTCTGTGCTTGATTATGTAAGAAATGTCTTAACTCTTCACCCACTGGAAGATCCTTAACACAGCTTCCCACACTGTGCCATGGCCCTCTGGGTACAGCAAGCCCTTGATCTTCTAAAACCCTTGCGGCAGCCTGACTAGGCCTGGCGAGGACAGTGCTCTAGGCTGCCTGCTGTAGCTGAGAGGCCTCAGGCAGTGGTTTCAAATCCTCTCACGTGCCTCAGGGTGTCACGCAGATATAGTCACATGGTATTTGTGCTAAGCCATGACAATAAGGAAGCTGTGCTGTAACTCTCACACAAGTGGATTTCTAGTTTTCTTGGCAGGATCACAGCATCTCGAGGTCTTGTGTTCCATCATCTTCAGGATCCCCATGTCCAGCTCAGTGGTCCTTACTGAATTCCTCCCAAACGAACTCAGTGCAACTAGCCCTAAGGTATTTATGGTGAATGTCAGAAGACGTAACAGCACAGTGAAGAAGGAATGCAGCCTATTCCCGTCGAATTACTCAATGCCAAGGCAGAAACGGAGAGTGCAACAGGTGTGAAAGAGGAGGCTGCTGGGAGAGGCAGGTTGACCTGAAGAGGCTGCTCTGGGACTTCCAGGCACACGTGACAAAGCTGATCAGACTATATGGGCTGGGGAGCAGTGGGCTATGGGGAGGCTGTGGTTGTGAGCAGAGAAGTGACTGGCTGGCTGGAGATGGGCAGGTTGAGTCATGAAGGTGGTCATCTAGGTACAAGTGTTGGGTAATGAGTGCTCACCCCTTGGTGGGGGCTGGGAGGAGCTTTAGAGACTCAGCAGGCTGTGATGACCCACGTGGATGTGAGGGGTGAAGGACAGAAGAGGCATCAGGATGGGGGTGGCCTCAGGATACAGGGCTGGGGAGATGAGCAGGTCTGCAGAGCCCAGGAGCACTCAGTCCACTGCCTACCTCATTCCTTCTGCCTCCCCAGTACCCAGGGTAGATGCTGCCTGCTTCCCTGTCTACCCAGGTAGGGTAAGATCATCTACCTTGGCAAGGAGAACAGTGGAGCAGCTAGACAGCCAGAGGTTCAGGAAGGGCTGCAGCAGACAGACTCGGGGACTGGTTCATGGGAGAGCAGCATGGCATCCCTGCCTGCAAATGCTGAAAACAGAGAGAACATGAGGGCAGGCAGATACCCTGGTCCTGACTGCTGCCTGTTGGGGAAGGATAAGCTGGAGGAGAGCTGCATGGTCCCTGTTCTCTCCAGACTCTGAGGCAGTCTGCTAAGAATACACCCAGGATCCTGCCCCTCACCTCCCATAATGGAGAACAGGAACCCAGTCAGCACAGCCCTTTGTACAGAGCAGGTGCCCACTTTTGTTCCTTCCTCCTCTGTTCCAGTGAAGCGCTTCTCCTCTCACTTCCGTGGGTCACTCAGAGCTCCCCAAGCAGCCCCAGGGAGCTTGCTTAGGAGGGTCTGACCCAAGACAGCATAGCACATCCCAGGCGGCAGGGATGCAGTCCCAGTGAAGACAGTGGGGATCCTGGGATGAGGCAACGAATGGAAGGAAACTAACAGGAAAGACATCAGGGATCAGGTTCTAGTTTTGGCTTTGCCTAGTCGCATAAACTTCTCTGAGCCTCAACCTCCTGCAGAGAAATACAGCAACATTCCCCTGCTCTACCTCCCTACAGGGTCAGTCAAGGGAGTGACCAGGCAAGTTGCAAAGTAACTTTAGCAAGCTTGGCTTTCTTATATAGGTACAGGAATCATTATTCCTATTTCCCGGCTTCCCTTCTTCAGATAACAGGAATAAGGAATCTGGTTCCAGAATCATTCATATTTGATAGAAGGCAGGAACAACAGAAAACTTAATTAGGAAGTGAATAAGGAGCAAGTGACTACATGACAGGGAGGGCTGTTGAGTTCGGCCTTTAGCAACCTAACCCTGAGATGGTCTCCATCACCCACAAGATTGGCCTGAATGCCATATTCCTGAAACAGGGGGATGCTTCCCAAAGGCTGTTGGGAAGGGAACCTCGCTGATGTCACATTGTGATTTCCACTTCTCACACCTCCTGCCTAGAAAGGGAACTCAAATGGGGACTCACTGACAAAGGGAGCTCCAGATGGCACGGGGCCAACCCGGGGCGACCCTCAGCGCCCACGTTCACCATCTGGACCCAGCAAACCGCCCTGTGGCCCTTGGTCTTGTCTTCAGCAGCTCTGTCTGGGGTCCCACACCTTTTGGGGTTCCACACCTTCGGGGTCCCACACATTCGGAGCCCGGACCTGCCTGAGTCTCTGCAGAGCGCGCGCCAGTCAGCGGCTCGCCGCCTCTGGGCTCCGGTTTGCCTAGCACGCCAGTTTCAGTGCAGCTTCACCCCAAGTCCCCACCTCCCCCGACCCCCGAACCTCACGGGCACCCTGGGAAGGAGACTTGACTTGTGACATCCGCCCCTCTTCGTGGCTGAGGAACTTTGGTTCCGAGCTAGGAGGCGACCGGCCCACGGCCACACACCTGGAGTGGGTGAGGCTGGGGGTGGGCCCGCTCCGGGACCCCTACGGCCCCTCCTCTACTTCTGGGAGGGTTGCGGCGGGGGGTCCGGAGGAAGGATCGCCGCCCCGGGAAGGGACAGCCCGGATGCCCACGTACCGGATCGCGGCGTTCACACAGCCCGCCTCCAGGAGCCCGGGAGCGCTTCCGGGTAGGGCTGCGTTACCGCGTACGTGACCCCCCCTCCCGGGGAGGGGCCGGAGCCGCCGTCGCCTTCCGCAGGTTCGAGCCCCGCCCCTGCCAGGCGTTCCCAGTGACCCGCTTTACAGAAGAGGAAACGGAGGCTCAGAGGGAAGAAATAACTTGCTGAGGGGCCGAACCAGGCTCAGAACTCAGGTTTCCTGGCTCCGCAGCTGATCCTTTTTCTTCCCCCACCAGGCCTGGAACACTACGCTTTACTTAATGAACTGAAGTTCTGGGGCTAGAGCTGTCCTTTTGTGACTGCTCTCCCTGACCTTTGGGGAGGTGACACAGCGCACAGAAAGGGTCAGTTGCCTCCAGAGTGCCAACGCTGGAATTTCTTTATAGGAGTTTTCTATTTTGGGAGTGGAGTGCACATTAGGAGTTTTGTGTTGAACCTGCGTTTGCAATATTTATTTTTTTAAAAATCGTATGTGTATTGGGGGTGGTTGGAGGTGGAGGGGGCGCTCTGATGTTAATGTAAGAAGCTAAATCCCCGAACAAGCCACCCTTCAGTGCCTTGGTGCCACCTCGGAGCTTTGAGCCCAGCCCAGCAGGGTATGGGTTGCAGGACCCATACGCTGGCTGGGGATGTAGTAGATTGAACATCCTCTGGGGTAAAGGCAGAGGCCAAGAATCCATACCTCCACCACCTGCAGATCAAAGAGAGCATCACTCCCGCTAGCCCACTACCCACCCCTTCCAGCTCGCCTTAGGGCAAATTCTTCCAACTCCCCATCTGCCGCAGGCATGTCTCTCCCCAGCCCCCGTTCCGATCGTTCACTCGCTATGCTTTCAGTGGCTGAATGAATTCTGTCAAATGGATATGCTGTTATTTACTTACTCGTTCCATTTCCCAACAGCAATGTATGAGGATTCCGATTTCTCCACATCCTCACCAACGCTTGTTATGTTAATTTTTAAGTATAGTCACCCAGTGTTTGTGGAGTGGTATCTTGTGATTTTCATTTGCACTTCCCTGATGTTCAGCATCTTTTCATGTGCTTTTTGCCTATTTGTGTACCTTCTTTGGAGAAATGTCTACTCAAATCCTTTGTCCATTTTAAAACTATCTTTATTATTGGGTTGTTAAGAGTTCTTTAAATGCTCTGGATACAAGCCCCTTATCAGATACATGATTTGCAAAAGTTTTTTTCCCATTATGTGGCTTGTCTTTTCACTTTCTTAGTGGTATCATTTATAGCACTAAAGTTTTAAATTTTTATGTAATCCAATATAATCTGTTTTTTAGTTTTGTACAGGTTTTTGTGTCAACATGTTTCTCTTTTTCAAATTTGTTTGTGGTAAAATACATATAATGTAAAACTGATCATTTAAGCCTTTTAAGTGCACTGTTCAGTGGTATTAATTAAATTCCTGTTGCTGTGCAGCCATCACCACCGTCCATCTCCATAGCTCTTTTCATCTTTTAAAACTGAAACTTTACCCATTAAACAATAATTCATTCCTCCTCCTCGTGGCAACCGCAATGCTACTTTCTGTCTCTGAATTTGACTACTCTGAGTACCTTATAGAAATGGAATCATACAGTATTTGTCTTTTTCTGACTGGCTTATTTCACTTAGCATAATATTCTCAAGGTCCATTCATGTTGTAGCATATGTGAGAATTCCTTCCTTTTTCTATTTTTAAGGTTGAATAATATTCCATTGTCTGTATATACCACATTTTGCTTATCCATTCATCTGTCGATGGATACTTAGGTTACATCCATTGTGTATAAGGCCGTCATGAACATGAGTGTACAAATATTTTTTTGAAACTCTGCGTTCAATTCTTTTGGGCATATATCCACAAGTGAAATTGCTAGATCATATGATGATTCTATTTTTAATTTTTAAAAGAACTACCATACTGTTTTCCACAGTAGCTGCATCATTTTAATTCCTATCCAAAGTGTACAAGGGTTCCAGTTTACCCACATCTTTGCCAACACTTGCTATTTTCTATTTTCTTTAAAATTTTTATAGTAGCCATCCTAATGGGTGTGAGGTAGTTCAATGTAAGTTTTTATTTCTCTTAGGTAAATACCTACACATGGGATTTCTGGGCTGTATGGTAGGTCTATGTTTAAATTTATATTAAATTGCTGAACCATTTTCCAAAGTGGATGTACCATTTTATATTCCTTCTGGCAACTCTGAGTTATAATTGCTCTGTAGTCTTCTTAGCATTTGCTATTGTCCTTTTTAAATTTTAGTCATTCTAGTAGGTATGTGGTAGTATGTAAAGTGTTCAAATCTTTTGCCTACTTAAAAATTGTATTGTTTTAATTATTTATTTGATTTATATATTTGGATTCAAGCCCTTTATTAGATATCTTTTTTGCTTTTTACTTTTTCTTTTTTGCCAGTCTGTGGCTTTGTGTTTTCATTTTATTTACAGTGACTTTTGAAGAGCAGAAATCTTTGTACATTTTGTGTCCTATTTAAAGTCTTTGCTTAGCCAGTGTCACAGAGATTTTTCTCCTGTTCTTTCTTTTATGCAGAAATTTAATAGTCATAGATTTTGTCTTTAGGTTCACAATCCATTTTTAGTTTTTTGTATGGTGTGAGAGAAGGTTGAGGTGTTAGTTTTTTATTTTTGTTTTTTGCATATAGATGTCCAATTTTTCTAGAGTCATTTGTTTAAAAAAATCTTTTCTCCATTGAATTAATTACCTTGGCACAGTTGTCTCAAATCAATTGACCATCTGTGTGTAAATCTAGTTTTGGAGTCTATGTTGTTCAATAAATTTAAAAGGATTTTATTGATTTTCTTAAAGAGGCAGTTTTTGGTTTAATCAATTTTTACTGATTTTCTGTTTTTAATTCATCAATTTCTGTTCTGATAGTTACTAGTTCCTATCTTCTGTTTACTTTGGGTTTATTTCTTTCTTATTTTTAATAGTTTCTTAGGGTAGAAACTGAGGCTAGTGATTTGACATCTTTTGTCTTTTTTAATAGATTCCAGTGTTATAGATATTCCCCAAGGTACTGCTTTATGAGCATCTGATAACTTTTTATCTGTTGTTTTTTCATTTTCAATTACTTAAAATTACTCATTTTTCTTTGATTTATTTAGAAGTATGTTATTAGTTTCCAAATATTTGGAGACTTTTAAGATAGCTTTCTGTTACTGATTTCTATTTCTATTACATTCTGGTCAGAGAATATTTGTGCAACTTGAATCTTTTAAAATGCACTGATGGCTCAGAATATGGTCTATCTTTGTTGAATGTTTGAATGTTTCATGTACACTTGAAAAGAATGTGTAACCTTTTGTTAGGCTGAATGATTTATGAATTTCAATTAGGTCAAGTTGGTTGATAGTAATAGTCAAGTCTTCTATATACAGAATGATATTCTGTTTACTCGTTCGATCAAATATTGAGAGAGTAGTATTGAATTCATTTACTATAATTGTGGATTTATTTATTCTTACAGTTCTATCAGCTTTGCTTCATATATTTTGAAGCTCTGTTTAGATGCGTAAATATTTAGGGTTAGATTCTCTTGATGAATTAATGCCTATATCATTATTAATCTTTGCCTTCAGAGAATTGTTTTTTAAAGTTTTGTCTAAGGTTTGTAATTGTTAATGGCAAAGGGGTCAGTCTGATATGACTTTAACATTACCAGAAACTGGAAGCTCTTTATTCACATTTTTATATGTAATATTTTCCATTTAGTTTAAAATATGTTCTACTTCCTATTGTGATTTCTGATTTTTTTTTCATGGAGTATTTAGAAGTGTGTTTCTTAATTTTCAAGCACAGGGAGATTTTCTATACACACACACACACACACACACACACACACACACACACACACACATATATATAAATTTCCACTTGTATTCCACTGCTGTCAGGAATATGTTGTATGTTATTATTCTTTTGAAGTTGTTTACAACTTTATTTCACCGTATATAATCAAGTTTTATAAGTGTTTCGATGTGTTATTGAAAAAGGACTTTACTCATTTGTTTTTGTAATGTTCTGTATGTATCATTTAGATGAAATATGTTAATTGTATTGTTTAAATCTTTTCTATTCTTTCTGATTTTTGTCTTCTTTAATTTTCTGAGAGAAATAACAGTTAAAAATCTATTATAATTACAAATTTGTATGTTTCTCCGTTTATGTCTGTAAGATTTTTGCTTCACATATAGGAGTTGTCATTAGGTACATGCAGATTTATAAATATATATTTTACTGTTAAACCTTTCATCTTTATGAAATGTCTCTATCACTAGCAATGCTTTTTTGTTTTACAAAAGCATTTATTGTCTCATATAAACATAAAGACATCATCTTTTGTTGCATGGATATCTTTTCCTTACACCTCTTAATTTCTTACATTTTAGATATTTCTTTTGAAATAGCTTTTAGTTGGACTTTGTTTTCATTTATCTTGTCTGATAATCTTTGTTTTTTAGTTGCAGCATTTATTCCATTTACATTTAGTGCCATTACAAATAAATTTGGTTTTAAATCTATCATCTTGCTAGTTGCAAGTTGATATTTGTCCCAACTGTTCTTCATTCACTTTCTCTTCTTTCTTGCTTTCTCTTAGATTAAGCATTTTTGTGATGATTCCACTGCCTTCCCATTCACTTAGAAAAATATACCCTTTTAAATATTCTTTTAGTGGTTGCCATAGAGACTAAAACATGTATCTTTGACTCACCAAGTTTAATGAAAATTAGTAGTTTTACCTCTTTCTTGAAAATGTAAGGATGTTAGTATATCTTCCATTTACCAGCTTTCAATATTTATGCTATTATTGTAATGCATTTTTAATTACTTGCATATTTTAAATTGTATGAGACAGTTATTATTATTTTATATTTATTTAGAGTTTCCCACATAATTACCCTTCATGCTGCTTTTCATTCTTTCCTGCATCTCTCATTGCATTATTTTGTTCATTCTTTCCCTCTCTGT